AGCAAATGTCTATACAAATAAGGCCAAGGAGCCCTTTCACACCATTATGTTACAATAACACACTCATGTATTGTGAATTGCAAGCAGCTGTAAACCCAGACAAGGAATATGAACAAATCACTTCCCTCTATAGTGTGTACTTGTCTCAATTAAGAGCACTAAGTGTCATTTTTGTCTGCTGCTTCATTCCTCTGCTATCAGTATGAATCTTTTCTGACACATTTTCCTCAGAGAAAAATGGTGACAGGAGGAATCGCCAGCAGATTGACAGCCTCATCTCTGTTCCTGTAAGCTGTGTGAAGGTGGGGGTGTGTAACTTCCATCCAATCCGCTCTCTGAGCTCTCTTCACTGAGCTCTGCAGAGTGTAACTTCAGCTTCCTCCCCCTTTTTTTGACAGCTCACTCAAGCTTTATAAATTCAGCACTTTGAACAGAGGTAGAGAAGACTCAGATAAACAGGTACAACTTTTGTAGGATGATTTGTTTCATCTCTGTGTATCGCCTGAGGCCAATCACTTTTAATGGGTATATGTAAGTGTTTACAACCACTTTAAACCGGTCATTTTAATTATAGCTTGGCTGCTAATCCCCTGACATAAAGTGTATTCAAAACTAATAAACTCATAGACACTTTTCCTGTCCTGTTCCCTAAGAAGGGGGGGTGGGGGGGGGTGTCACAAAAAGGAGGGTACCAGCAGGGACTACCACAGCACACTCACTAGTCCATGCAGCAGGACCCGCTATGGGGTCCAGTCTTCACCCACCATGGCTAGCAATAAGCACAAAGGCTTTCAGGGACTCCCCAGCTGGGGATCACTGCCCTGGACCTGTAAAGCATGCTACTGGTTTGCAAGGCAATATATGATTCCGCAAGGTTCAGTGGTGACCGGCAACACTACAGGCCATCCCTGCATGATCAGAGCAGGGTCCAGGTACCATTCCTCAGAGTGTGGAAAAGCCGTAGGACATGGATCTGGAAAGAACTAATCTCCTAATCCCAGATGGAACTGTTAAGAAGATAGCTAATTTTTGTGCAGAGACTGCACAAACATCTACTATTACCCAAGGCACTGGAAAAAAGAAAAACTGCTTAACTGGGAGGAGTTATGCCTAGGAGGGGATTGCCTGTCTTTTTACCAGTCACCTGAAAGTGGCTGCATCGCCTATCAAAATAGAGATGAAGATACCCTATGTCCCTCCTATTCAAGGGAGGGGTTATAGCCTTAAAGTATTACTAAACCCACAACAATAATATCAGTCTGTATATGCAATAAAGCATGCTTGTTATACTCACTGTGGAGCCTAAAGGGTTAATCCTCTGCAGTGTTTAAAAATGCTGTTTGATTCTGACTTCTCTGATTCCTCCCCTTCTTCCAGTGTCCCCCCTCTTATCTCTTCATAAGACATATACACTAAACTGAGCATGTGCAATGTTTTTTTTTTCTTGGGAGTGCACGTGATCAGCACAGAACCAATCAGCACTGTCCAGAGGTCAGGGGTTCTGCATCTTCCTAGAGCAGACTGAAAACTCTTCCTACAAGCTTTAACCAGTGCTCAGCTGGACACTGATAGCAGTCACAAGACTGCTGCTATAACTGCTGATAAGAAAAGGTATTTAGCTGTTTATATTTACTAAAATAATGTCATTTCCATGTTCTGTGTACTGTGGGAGACCAGATATAGTGAATGCCGGGTCCTGGGAGACCTAGTGAGTGCAGGGCCCTGGGAGACCAGATATAGTGAGTGCAGGGTCCAGAGTTCAGTAACACTTTAAGGAGGATGAGCTGGCCGACCTTCAGTTTTCTATGAGGCTAGTGTCTATGTCTTCTGTGGGCAGCAGTATAACCCTATGTTGCCTATTATTAACAAGCTTTGTCCCTCAGTGGACAAAAGAGATGCAATCTAATCCAAACTGCTGCCCAAGGTTGGAAGAACTCACATAGGTTTTTTTTATATGCTGCAGCATTAACAGTACTCTTCATTGCAAACACCTGAACTCAATTTCAAGGACAGTCCACATACTTTTGGACATATAGCAGATGCGATGGTCACATGTCCACACACATTTGGCGATACAGCATCTGTCCTTTAGCGGAACCTTTTACTTTTAAATGATTATAATGGTAAAGGTGACTAGTGACCTGATAACACTCATACTGTAAAAACACACACTGCTCAAAAAAAAATTAAAGGAACACTCTGAAAACACATCAGATCTCTATCTCCCCCCCCAGGGGCAGGGCATGCTCCTAATGAAACGACGGATGGTGTCCTGGGGTATTTCCTACCAGATCTGGACTAGGGCATCACTGAGCTCCTGGACAGTCTGAGGTACAACCTGGCGGCGTCGGATGGACTGAAACCTGATATCCCAGATGTGTTCTATTGGATTTAGGTCAGGCAATCGTGGGGGGCCATTCAATGGTATCAATTCTTCAGCCTCCAGGAACTGCCTGCATACTCTCCCCACATGAGGCCGGGCATTGCCGTGGACCAGGAGGAACCCAGGACCCACCGCACCAGCGTAGGATCTGACAATGGGTCCAAGGATTTCATCCCGATACCTAATGCAGTCAGGGTTCCATTGTCTAGCCTGTAGAGGTCTGTGCATCCCTCCATGGATATGCCTCCCCAGACCATCACTGATCCACCACCAAAATATTCATGCTGAACGATGTTACAGACAGCATAACATTCTCCACGGGTTCTCCAGACCCTTTCACGTCTGTCACATGTGCTCAGGGTGAACCTGCTCTCATCTGTGAAAAGCACAGGACGCCGGTGGTGGACCTGCCAATTCTGGTGTTCAATGGCAAATGCCAATCGAGCTCTATGGTGCCGGGCAGTGATCACAGGGCCAACTAGAGGATGTCGGGTCCTCAGGCCACCCTCATGAAGTCTGTTTCTGATTCAGAGACATTCACACCAGTGGCCTGCTGGAGGTCATTTTGGAGAGCTCTGGCAGTACTCATCCTGTTCTTCCTTGCACAAAGGAGCAGATACCGGTCCTACAGATGGATCTTCTATGGCCCTGACCAGCTCTCCTAGAGTAACTCCCTGTCTCCTGGAATCTCCTCCATGCTCTTGAGACTGTGCTGGAGACACAGCAAACCTTCTGGCAATGGCACGTATTGATTTCTGTGCAACCCCTGTAGGGTCCAGATATTGCCTCATGCTACCAGTAGTGACACTGACCCTAGCCAAATGCAAAACTAGTGAAAAACGGTCAGAAAAGATAAGTAGGGAAATAATGGCCTTCACCTGTAAAACCATTCCTGTTTTGAAGGTCGTCTCCAGGGGCAGACTGACAACTCATGGGGCCCCTGGGCAATAGGGGATCATAGGGCCCCTGTGTACTTGCCCAAACTCAAAAAAAAAGCCTATGAAAAAAAGAAGGTACCAGGGGCATCTCATGGGGCCTCCTACTGACCCCGGGCCTTCGGGCAGTGCCCGAGTTTCCAAATGGTCAGTCCGCCCCTGGTCGTCTCACTGTTGCCCATCTAGTGAACCTGTTATTAATTTCATTAACACCAAAGCAGCTGAAACTGATTAACAACCCTCTCTACTACTTAACTGACCAGATCAATATCCCAGGAGTTTCATTGACTTGATGCTAGAGTCTGATTTTTTTTTTTGAGCCGTGTATAATGAAAAACATTAAGGAACACTTTTTAATCAAACTTAAGCTAGCACTTAAATTGATTATTTCCATTAAGATTGCTCCCCAGGAGGATTACATTCATGAAGCAATACTCAATGTGACATCCATATATCTAGATTAGGAGGTTTCCAAACTTTGTAGAGAAACTGCCAGTATACTTTCCTTCAGATTGTAGAGGGGCCGGACTAATGCCAGTGGGAATAAACAATGCCTTATTGTTGTGGTCATTAGAAGGAATTTTGCCACTTCATTGGTGTCAGTGGAGGAATTGCACCCCACCCTTGGCGTCAGTGTGAGGAATTGTTCCCCATCGTTGGTGTCAGTGGACCGGTTTCACATTTTTTGCATCATTGGGAGGAATTGTGCCCCTTCAATGGTGGCAGTGGGAGGATAGAAGCAAAAGGACTGCAGTTTGGAGACCACTGATCTAGCTAATCTAGTGGGAATTATGTCCCCATTGAAGGGCATTTTGATCCTGGCTGATTTTTGCCAAAGATTTCTAAGATTTTAGGTCTGTTGCACATTGTTGCCTAAAAACTCAGGCATACAGGATTTTTTTTACTAATCTAAAAGCAGCTTATTGTTTTCAATGTGCCTGTACACACATGAGCATTAACAAGTGAGTATAGAAGAGTTAAAAAAAAAAATCTGTGTTGCCAGTCAGTATTTTACACAGGTACACTTGCAAATACGCCCATGAATTGGTAATCTGAAGAGTTTAGAATTGCATTCTGAGAGCTAGAATGTATTTTACTCGTGTACACGCATACTCCGAAATTCGTGCGCAAATACGCATAAATATGTGCAAAATAAATTAAAGGAATTTCGGCCAGGAAAAATTGATGTTCAAACAAACCAAGGTGACAAGTATCAACCTTAAGATGTAACACACGTTTCAGTTTTGTCTCAGAAGACTTTTATTTAAAGGGTAATGAACTTGTGGGGGGAAGGGGGGGGGGGGAACTGTGCGTTGCTTTTAAAAGGGAAGTAGAGCAGCCATTACACACTGTGAAAGTCGTCCCATTCATAGCAGTAAGAAATATGCATTCTGTTTCCAGGTGAATCTCAGCGCACTGACATGAAGTCCTGATTTCCGGTGTCTGACGGAGCCTGGCGAGTTTCATGATGCAGATACAGAGTTCCATATAAAAGCTTTGTGAGTCTTGTAGCACAATAGGTTTGGTACACGGGGTGGGGGGTCAGGGGACACAGTGAACAAGTAGGAGTCTTGATACTGGGGTAAAAGTCATGTAAGCCATATCCATACAACAGAAGTGAGGTACACGTAGGACAATTATATAGGAATACACAGGAGAGGGGTCTTCCCAGCCTCCGGGGTCTAAGGGTCTCCCTTGAATGCTCTCTGCGTGTTCGGGAATCTCTGAGGATTATATGACTCGTTGTCTTGTAGAAGAATTTTCTGGATATCTTGACACAGCTGAAATGTAAAAATAAAATATTACTATGAACATTTCACTACAGTATTACAAGAAGCATTCATGTCAAAAGCAACACTGTTCATTTTCCAGGTATAAAAAGGGATGCTAGCGTGGGGGTACTACATGCAGTAGTAGTGTGTCCTATTATTGCCATGTATTTGAAATGCTACAATTTTGGCCATATTCAATATATTTCAATAAATACATATAAAAATCTGAATATATTTTAAATATATATATTTTTTAAATATAATCTTCAGATTTATTTTAACACAAAGTCATTTTAACATATTTTTACATATATTTGTAAATGCAATCCAAAAATGTAATTTGTAATTTTAATATATATATATATATATATATATATATATATATATATATATATATATATATATATACACACATATACACACACACACACACATATATATATATATATATATATATATACACATACATACATACATACATATACACACACACACGCACTGCATGTTGAAATGCGTTTTTTATTACAAAATATCCGAAAAAATATTTTTAAAAATACAATTTCAAATATGCTGTCTTTAATATTACAAATCTACATTTTTGGAATGCATTTACAAAATATATGTAAAACTATAAGACATACAGTATATTTGAAACTATTTTTAAAAATATTTTTCATATATTTTGTAATAAAAACGCATTTCAACATGCAGTATATATTAAAATTACATTTTTGGAATGCATTTACAAATTTTACAAATATATGACTTTTTTATAGGTTAAAATAAATCTAAAGAACAGATTTAATATATATATATATATATATATATATATATATATATATATATATATATATATTAAATCTATCTATAATCTATCTATCGATCTACATACACACACACACACACACACACAGTTGTGTTCAAAATAATAGCAGTGTGTTGAAAAAAGTGAATAAACCTCAAAATCCTTCTAATAGCTTTTATTTCCATCCACACAAATGCATTGGGAACACTACACATTCTATTCCAAATCAAAACATGAAGAAAATATATCAAATTTGTGTTGTTCCTCTAAAGAAAATTGAAGAAAAGTGAATATTAGACTGTTCAAAAAATAGCAGTGTTTTTATTCTTCTTTACAAACTCAAACATTCACTATATAAACTGAAAAATGTTTGAAGATTTTGCTTTCCTTTGAATGACTTCATGAATATTTAGTTGTAGTCGCACTGTTTCTGAGAACTGCTGTACATCTGTGTTGCATGGAGTCACCCAACTTCTGGCACCTGTGAACAGGTATTCCAGCCCAGGATGATTGGACTACATTCCACAGTTCTTCTCTATTTCTTGGTTTTGCCTCAGAAACTGCATTTTTGATGTCACCCCACAAGTTTTCTATTGGATTAAGATCCTGGGATTGGGCTGGCCACTCCATAACATCAATCTTGTTGGTCTGGAACCAAGATGTTGCACATTTACTGGTGTGTTTGGGGTCGTTGTCTTGTTGGAACACCCACTTCAAGGGCATTTCCTCTTCAGCATAAGGCAGCATGACCTCTTCAAGTATTCTGATGTATTCAAACTGATCCATGATCCCTGGTATGCGATAAATAGGCCCAACACCGTAGTATGAGAAACATCCCCATATCATGATGCTTGCACCACCATGCTTCACTGTCTTCACAGTGTACTGTGGCTTGAATTCAGTGTTTGGGGGTCGTCTGACAAACTGTCTCCGGCCACTAGACCCAAAAAGAACAATCTTACTTTCATCAGTACACAAAATGTTGCACCATTTCTCTTTAGGCCAGTCAATGTGCTCTTTGGCAAATTGTAACCTCTTCAGCACATGTCTTTTTCTCAACAGTGGGACTTTGCGGGGGCTTCTTGCAGATCGCTTGGCTTCACATAGGCGTCTTCTAATTGTAACAGTACTCACAGAGAACTTTACATCCTCCTGGAGCTGATTGTTGGCTGAGTCCTTGCCATTTTGGCTATTCTTCTATCCATTCGAATGGTAGTTTTTCACTTTCTTCCACGTCTTTCAGGTTTTGGTTACCATTTTAAATAATTTGCGATCATTTTAGCTGAGCAGCCTATCATTTTCTGCACTTCTTTATATGTTTTCCCCTCTCCAATCAACTTTTTAATCAAGGTACGCTGTTCTTCTGAACAATGTCTGGAACGACCCATTTTCCTCAGAATTTCAGAGAGAAATGCACTGTAACCAGCATGTACAACATTTGCTGCCTTCCTTCCTTAAACAAGGGCAATAATTGTCACCTGTTTTTCAAAGAATGAATGACCTCACTAATAGAACTCCACACTGCTATTATTTTGAACACAACTGTATGTATATTTTACACACACACACACACACACACACACACACACACACACACACACACACACACACACACACACACACACACACACACACACACACACACACACACACACACACACACACTTTGGCCAAAATTGTAGCATTTCAAATATATTTTCCTTCCATGTGGGAGGTCATGGTGGTTCCCAGCCCACAGCAGTCATTCCTGTAAACATTCAGCACGTGGAACGCCTGATCCTGGATAATCGATGCATAACCCGTCGTGAAATTGCACAAGAGGCGAATCTTCCTGTGGGAACGGTGAACACAATGACAAAGTGAAGCAGGCTGTCCTAGGATGGTTCAGGTGTACTGACAAGTCTTTCTATGCCAACACTTTCCAGGCATTAGTTATACGCTGGGATAAGTGTATAAATGTAGCAGGGGAGTATGTGGAAAAATAAATGCAGTTTCCACTCCTTTCAATTTTTTCTTTTATTATATAAACTCAAAAGTTCCAGTTTGACTTAGACGCCCCTCGTATGCTAGCATATGGCCCACAGATCTCCTTTAACCACTTGCCAACCGAATGACAGCTACAGCACAGTTGTCCAGTTCTGAGAGGGCGTCATAACGATGTCCCTGAACACACCCTCCTGTGGGCGTGCACCCGGCGATCTCCATGATTGCTGTGTCCTACTGACACAGCTCATCACGTGATGTGGTAAAAAGGCCAATCACAGCGGCCTTTTACCATGTGATCAGCTGTGTCCAATGACACAGCATATCACCGGTAAATGCAGTTGCCGTTATCGGCAGCACTTTCCTCACACTGTCACAGCGTGAGGAAAGTACTGCTGATAACCGGCAATTGTCAGAGGATGGATCGGCACTGATGATCAGTGTCCAGCAGTGCCGCCCACCTGTACCCAGCAGTGCCACTCACCTGTGCTGCCTAGCAGTGCCGCCAGTCAGTGCCACCTATCAGTGCCCATCAGGAAGGGGGTATAAGTGCCTGGTAGGCAAGGGGTTAAAGTAAAACTTCAGCCAAAAATAGTTTTGGGGGCTGAGATCTTGTTGTTGATTTACTACAAAACAAATACCGTAGGTTGTTTATTCTACAAAGGAAGCTGCACTCTGCAAAGGAATTGTGTCCACAGCTTAGCAAATGTTTTGACATTGCACTTTGAAAAGTATAGCCAATCATATGCAAGAAAAAAAAAAAACGCATTTCTGCTTACATGTGATTGGATGATAGAAGTCAGCAGAGCTTCACCTCATTCAATAAGCTCTGGGGCCAATTTCCTTGCAAGTGCAACTTCTCCTTCACATATATACTAAAGGCAAACAGGCTGTTCATTGTGAAGTTTTTATTTCCTTCTATCTCCCGCTGAGATTTTTCTTCACTTCCTGTCCCATCCTGTCCTCATAACAAGCAGCTTGCTATGGGGCCACTGAGCAGGCTCGCTCCTGAGCCACTGCTGTATCAATTCAGCTGGCTGTGATTGACAGTAGTGGGAGCCAATAACTACCACTGCTGTCTCGGCCAATGAAGAGGGAGAGACAGGGGAGAGCCAAGGCTCGTATGCACATTGCTGGATCGGAGGGGGTTGAGTTAAGTTTTAAAAGGGGGCACTACTGCACACAGTTTTTTTTTTTACCTTCATGCATATAATTCATGATGGTAAAAAATCCTTGAACCTTTACATCCACTTGAAGTTAAAAAATATAGTGATGTCACTTTTCTGCCAACAGCCTGTTGATTGGACAGTCATCAGCTCTGCTCTCACCTGATCGATTCAAAGTGCTGCCCCCCATCCCCCAGTCTAAGAATGGCTATGCAAGAGATGACAGGAGGTGAATATTAAACCAGTGTGCTAGCTTAACCCCTTGACGCCAACGTGAGCGGCCTCACAGAACTGGGCTTTTCTCCATGGGGCCGCATATTTGCGTACCTGTTTTTACGCTGGGGGCGTGCTCCCGGCACAAAGACCGCGCTGTCACTGAGAGCCCCGGGGTCCCATTTTAACGATCGGAACCCGGACGCCCAATTCCGGGTCACATGATCGCTGTGATAGCCTCGGATTGGCTATCACAGTAATCAGTCACTGTACAGTCCGGCCCCCTTGGTTTTTTTTTTCTCTCTATGAATGGAGGAGAGAGATACATTGTATCTCTCTAACTCCTGGCATAGAAGGGGAAACAAATGTTTGTTCAAAAAAATAAATATTAAAAAAAATAAAATAAACAAAGAAAAAATACCTAGATCAGGTTTGATCTAGTTTAGTGCCAGGGTTAGTGTTTGGGTCAAGGTCAGGATTTAAAAAAAAACAAAAAAACAAAATTTGGTGTCAGTGTGATTTAGGTAGAAAAAAAAAAAAAGACAAACAAAATGCGCACTATTGTTTCTGGGCTGTACTACGGGTACAAACATACACATATATGGTATTGCTGCGATCGTCAAGAGCTGGAGAATGTATTTTGGGTTGTTCATTGGTGGTAGGTTATGGTAGTAACAAGAAACATAGCTAAATAAAAAAAAAGATTTTTTTTTACTATTTTGGACCATTTTCCTTTGAAAAAAAAAAAAAAAAAAAAAAAAATCAGGAGATATTCATTACCATTTACCACCAAATGAAAGCCCAATTTGTCCTGAAATAAACACGGTATAATCCACCTGGATGTACAAAGTAGTTGTGATGATATGTACGGTTTTACTAACACATGTCAATGTTGCAAAATTGTGCTTAGGCATTTAGATTTGTTTTACCCTTAGGCGTGAAGGGGTTAAGTTCCATTTTAAGAGCTCTTCACTTTCCATGCACTCCATCAAAATCAGTTCTCAGCACTTCCAGCTCTGTTTTTGCTCTTCACTGTGAACCCATTAAATCCGCTCACCTGTTCTCTGTATCGGCCTTGTACCTCGCTGTTGTCCAACTCTCTCTTCAGACTCTCCATACTGGTCTCTGGTTTGGCTCCCGTACACTTCACGGCCCGATTCACAGCCTCCGAGAGGGAGAGGTGAGGTCCTTCTCCTTGCATTGTCTGAAAGAGAAGCCATAATGAATCCCAGTACAATACAACAAAAGGCACACACATTGCTCCAGCCGAATGAATCCTACCTTGCGTCTCTTGGCGGGCATCCCGCTCAGGTAGGCATCACTCAGTGGCGGTTGCTGCTTTAGCTTCCTTTGGGTCTGAATATCCTGCCTAATGACAGGGACCCACTCCTGGATAAGAAGGAGAAGCAACAGCCATAAGCAGAGGCAGAGGACAGTGACATGCCAAAACATGAGCCAAAAACAGAAAAAAGGCGAGAATTTCACAGGAGATGGGAATGTAGGGGAAAAAAAAAAGGGACAGAAGAGTAAATGACTGGCAAGGAGCATATGGCACTCACTGGTGGCACTGCTGCTGCCCATGGCTCAGACCCAGCCTCTTCTTGTTGAGGGAGCTCTGAGTCCGGACATAGAGCTGGTGCTGAAGCCTGAGTGGGCATGAAGAGGACCTCTTCCACTGTGGTGGCAGGGGCTGGAGAAGAAGCACCCGGCTGTGGGACAGATAGAACGACATGGGTGGAGACAAAGAAGCAGATAGAATAAAAGGGAAAGTATCACTGTGTAATATAATGCTACTGGAAATGGCGGCACAAACATCGCAATCTAAACAACGTTACGCAGAACTCCAGGCATAAAAAGCTTTACATATAAATATAAACCTCAATAACCACAAAAAGGACATACAGTAATACCTCGGTTTATGAACACCGCGGGTAACGTAATTTCTGGTTTACGAATGAAAATCTATTGAAAATAATGCCTCGGTTTACAATTTTTTTTCGCAATACGAAGTAAGTTTCCCCAGGATGCATTGCGCCTGGGAGGTTTATAGCGCCGGTCCCGTGACTTTAAAGTGCACTTTATAAACAGTTTTGAACAGATAACACTTTTTTCTGACCTCCAGAATGGATTAATTGATTTTCAATGCATTTACTAATTTTTTTTTAATCATGTCCCTGTACAGTATTTATGCCTTTAAAGTGCACTTTATAAAGAGTTTTGAACAGATAAAACTTTTTTTTTTTTTTTTTACTTTTTTCTGACCTCCAGAACGGATTAATTGGTTTTCAATGCATTCCGCGTTTCGGTTTACAAATTTTTTTGCAATACGAAATGTCCTGGAGAACGCATTAAATTTGTAAATCGAAGTACGCCTGTAAATGTATTTTGTGTATACCAAAAGAACGTTGCTCCTGCATTTACACATTATCTGTTCGTCTGGGTTTGAGCATTCAGTTTTCAGCACCCTCTTACCCACCTCCACATTTATGTGGCAATTATAAAGGGAACAAAATTTTAAAAAGTGCGCTAAAATTATATACTGTAGGGTCAGATTAAAGTGGCAACCTTAACCCCTGGTTCACATCTGTGCGGGTGGTGCCCCTGTGGGACCCGCACAAATGCCTGCAGCTGCACCACCCACACAGAAGAAAGCGGGTGCCATTAATTCTAATGGCATGCTGCCCACACTGGAAATCACAACTGTACTGGGAACCTCGGTTCCCATGCAGGCTACGATTTCCAAAGTAGTGCAGGGACTTCTTCCCTGCGTGTCCCAGGGCACGGGAGTCCATTCAAATGAATGGGCTCTCATGCCCGCACAAAACGCGGACCGCACAGATGTGAAGAGAGCTTAAGAGGAACTTTGGTTTTGTTTAGAACAAAAAAAAAAATGAAAAAAGTGAAAAAAGTAAACAGCTACAAAAATACTGCAGCTGCCGACTTCTGACAGTCGGTGTCTTCACTAGAGCAGATCCCTCACCGGGTTTGGGATCCTCGATGCCAGCATCCTGAACGTGACAGCCAGTTGTGACTTCCTGCTGTTTTACAGCCAGCTCTCCACTGTGTATGCATGATCGCGCTGTGCTTTCAGACTGGTCCCGCAGCCTTCTGGGACATGTCCCAGGAGGTTGCGGGTGGGTAAGAGGGCTGGCCAAGCTGATGTCATTCTTGTCTAGGTGAGAACTTTGGAAGTGAGAGCAGATACCTGTCAAAAAAAAAAAAAAAAAAAAGGTACCCCCTCCCAGGAAAAATAAAAACATCAGTTTTTGTTGGGGGGGGAGGGAATAGGATGAAGTTTTACTTTAACGCTGAAACAGAGTGAGAGACTGGAGTCATCGCTGCCCACCAAACTAGTATCAGTGAACACATAACTTGTGTCCGGAATAATGTAAGCCTCACACACAATTCTGAAGAGAGTATTGTAAATTCAACTGAAAAACATACACAAACACAAACACACACAAACACCTAAAAGGCCTTTCAATACAATCTGAATTTGTTCAAAGCAGAGGAAAAAAAAAAATTTTCTATCATTTGCAAAATATAACTGCAAAAAAAAAAAAAAAATAGATAACTGATTATGTGGGAATTATTGATCGCTAAAAAAAAACCAAAAAAAAAAAAACCTCTTGGATGGGCATCTTGACGAACACAGTATAAAGGGATATGGGAAAGATTTTTGACATGAAAAACACACCCATGCATACAGTTTGAACTGGCATGGATTAGTGTTTATTCAACTTTACCAAGTATGCCACACACCATTCATATCAAAAGAACAAATTAATCTACATTATCCAAATGTACTTTTTTTTACGTTAGTTGTAAAATAATCTGTGATATGCAAACTTCAAGGTAACTGAGATGCATGGCCTTTTTTGGAGCAAAGTATTAAAAGTGCTGCACAACCTAGATACTGACTGAAATGCATTTGGGCCCTAAGACACACAGAAGAGGACCTTGCTAGTAATACCTGAGCCTCAGCAGGAGAGGTCTCCATTGGCTGCTCCTGTGGGGACAGCTCTGTATCCTAAGGAGACAAGAACAGAAGAGGAGGACACAATAAGAGGCCATGTAAGAAAGCCATGACATAAAGATGTTCCTGTGGTTTATATCTGGAAGAATAACCATTCTTGCAGCCCCAAGTAATTAAGAGCACAACCATATAATATTACTGAAAATAAACCATTGCTTTGTCCATTCAAGGCAAAACAACAGGTCCACTTTAATAGTGGCAACCCAATGCGCACCCTTCCTTTCATTCCTCCATCATTGGGAGAGAAAAAATACCTGGCACGTCTAAGTATGGAGATGCACATCATTCATTTCCTTTGTGCCCATGTGACAGTGCTGGTGTTTGGCTACTCCAGCACCCAGTGCGGTCATATAGAAGCAGCGGGACAGTGTCCAGCTTTTTGTAAGCTCCAGATCATCGCTTAAAGTGGTTGTAAACCTAAAAAAAAAAAAAAATCAATCTAATCCTACAGTTGAACAGATTTTACCTTTTCTAAGCATTTGAGCTTTGTTTGGTATCTTGAAGCAAGCCCCTTCTCCAGAAATCCCCCCTGCTCTACTGAACAAAATAAATCTGACAAGCAGAAATATGGTGTCGCCACTCCCCTTCTCCAGTGAGTGACAGGCTGTGCCGAAAACGAGACCCGCCTGAGCCTCCATGGAATACACTGCAAAGGGGATGGGGGAGAGGGTGTCCTCTCCCTGCTGGTCTCTGCCTTCACAAGATCGAGAACTCAGCAACAGTGATTTATGACATAGATCGGCATCACTTCAGTTAGGGACTGATGTGAATGTTCAATATATATATATATATGTGTAAAGTGCTGCGTAAATTGACAGCGCTATACAAGTACCTGAAATAAATAAATAATGCTGTATTTATCTAGGCAAGTTTGCTGACAGCTGATTATTGTCCTGCTCTATTCACAGCACCTAGCTTGTGAATTGCTGTTTACAGAGTTTTACATGTTTCTTGTTCCCAGGGGCGGACTGACAACTCATGGGGCACCCAGGCAATAGGGGATCATGGGGCCCTGTGTCCTTGCCCACACTCAAACCACACCCAAAAAAGCCTATGAAAAGTACCAGGGGCATCTCATAGGGCCCCCTTCTGACCCCGGGCCCTTGGGCTGACAACTCATGGGGCACCCAGGCAATAGGGATTATGGGGCCCCTGTGTCCTTTGCCCACACTCAAACCACACCCAAAAAAGCCTATGAAAGGTACCAGGGGCATCTCATGGGGCCCCCTTCTGACCCCGGGCCCTTGGGCACTGCCAGAGTTCCCAAATGGTCAGTCCGCCCCTGCTTGGTCCACATTGTCACTTTAGGCTGCAGGACTCCTAGGAATTTTAACATTAACCCCTTCCTACCAGCTTTCTCCTGATTAGCACAGATCTTGTGCTGTAAGCAGAGCTGACAGTCACTGGCACCTATGTATTGCCCTAATGGCACTCAGGAGACATGATCGCAGACATAGAGATGTCAGATAGCTCACGGTCTTGAGCAGAGGATAGAGGATGTGAAACTGAGGGATTGTGTGACACCACATCTCCGCCTACTATTCTCTGTTCCTAAGTCACGGCCACAAACCAGCAGTTTTTAGAGGGCTGAGAAAAGCTAAGGGGAGTATTTTTCTGAGGTACACTCACAGCTGTATGTAGGTTTACATTAAAATGTATTCATTTATGACAAAAAGCACTTTTTTTTTATATTTGCGTTTACAACCACTTTACTACCGCTTTAATGATGTGTTGGTGTTAAACACTGCTCGGACACTTGTGCCTACAGGCAAACTTATAATAAAGCTTACCAGTAGGTACAAGGAATATCTCCTAGACGTGCACCATTTAGGAAATTACTCACCGTTTCTGCAGCCAGTGACGTCATTGTAACATGGGCTCTGAAGGGACGGCATGCACATGCATAAGAGCCCGGTGCTGCTGAAGGGCTTCATTGTAAGGAAACTCTTTCATAATGTGCTAGTATGTGATGCATATTAGCACATCATGTGCTTAAAGCGGAGTTCCACCCAAAAGTGGAAGCTCCGCTTGTTTGCCACCCCCCCCCCCCCCGCCATATATGACACCTTTTGGGGGGGGAGGGGAGCCGTGGGGAAGTGAGCTGGAAGTTCTGCCCCCTTCTTCCTCCCACAGACTCCTGGGAACCTTCACAGGTCCCAGAAGACTGCTGGACCAATCAGGATGTGCAGCGTGACCAGCGCATGCGCAGTAAGCACCCGGCTGTGAAGCCGCAAGCTGTCACCGTTGGGTGCCCACAGATGAGATGCTGGCGCCATGGAGAGAAGGGACAGCGCGGGTGAGAACATCGCCAGACCCTGGGACAGGTAAGTGTGTGCTTATTAAAAGTTTTTTGTAGCTGCTGACTTTTAATAAACTCCCAAAACGGCTGGAACTCCGCTTTAACTTGCAGGGAGAAATGTATTATTTTTTTTTTTCTATGCAAGAGTTTACTACCCCCTTAACTCTCAAGTAAATACAGAAAGAGAAGGGAAAATAAGTGGATGTTCAGCTGGTTAGGCCAGCAAGGGCAAAACACGTTAGCTTTAAACATGAAAGGAGGAATCTGGTCTGTTATTGAATGTTCCAACTCACTCGAGGAGGGTCTCCCACTCTGCGGACATGCCTCTGCACCTCTCCTTCCGTCACCGGCATTTGGCCCAAAAGAGCTTGCAGTCGCAGGGACAAGACAGAAGTCACCCAAGAAACTAATGCAGGAGAAACATCTGTGGACAGTCTCCTCTGTAAAGAAAAAAAAGAGGGATTTTGGTTTATGGTAAAAGCAAACTGACATGTCACAGGCCTGGAACATGAATAACCAATCCCCTGCAAGAAAATGTTCACTGTGATGGTTATCCAATAAATAATTCAATAATCCTTCCCCAAGGCTAGGAAAAAGCACATGGTGGTGGATAGTCCTGAAAATTCATCCTCACGCTTTGTATGTTTCCATCATGTTGGGGCTACCGCTAATCATAAAATGAAGACCCGTGGCCATCGAATCTTGTATCCAGTTATAGAGTCAAACACGGCATGTTCTGTGAATACATGCATCAAGATTGGTGTTGATTTGCCATTTGTGCTTTTGAGTTTAACGGTTTTTCCTTTATGTTAAAAGTACTGTATATGTCCAGTCACAATTGTTTTAGTTTTGTATAGTGGGGCAGAAAGAAAATCCATCAGGTTTACGACTATCTCCATTACAGAGATTTCCCCTTACTTCCTGTCCAGCTGGTTTAACAGACAGGAAGGGAGTTGTGATTTCCAACAGCAACACAGTAAAAGAGAAAAGAAAACAAAACTAAAAAACAAAAAAAAAAAAAAAAACTTTCCTTTAGCAGAGTAGGGGAAGACTAGAAACGCTTACAGATTTCTGTGTCCCTTGGACAGAATGTGGGGGGAAATCTATACCTTTTATTGCCATCTTCATTTACAGAGAGGGGTTCTCTAATCCACCCATACTCAAGGCAAAAGAAGGAAAAGATTTTGGCTTAACATACAGTGAAGGAAATAAGTATTTGATCCTCTGCTGATTTTGAATGTTTGCCCACTCACAAAGAAATGATCGGTCTACAAATCGAATGGTAGGTGTATTGTAACACTGAGAGACAGAATAGCAACAAAAAATTCAGAAGAAATGCATATCTAACAAATGATGCACTGACTTGCATGTTCATGAGGAAAATAAGTATTTGATCCCCTTCACAAAACATGACAGTACTTGGTAGCAAATCCCTTGTTGGCAATCACAGAGGTCAGACGTTTCCTGTAGTTGGCCACCAGGTTTGCACACGTCTCAGGAGGGATTTTGGCCCACTCCTCTTGGCAGATCCTCTCAAAGTCATGAAGGTTTGGTGGCTGACGTTTGGCAACTCAAACTTTCAGCTCCCTCCACAGATTTGCAATTGGACTAAGGTCTGCAGACTCGCTAGGCCACTCTAGGACCTTAATGTCAGGTCAGACGTTTCCTGTAGTTGGCCACCAGGTTTGCACACATCTCATTCAATTTTTAGACTGATCATTTCTTTGTGAGTGGGCAAGCATTCAAAATCAGCAGAGGATCAAATACGCATTTCCTTCACTGTACATCAACTTTTATGCCATGTTCCTCACAAAGCTCAGCAATGCTACTTCTGTGCACCAGAGGAAGGAATCCACAAAAGCCACAAGCTGTTGCATTCTTATCAACTGACTGGTGCAAATATTCTGTTACCCCTTCCTGCACCAGATGCTGGAAATCCCTAACTTTGTCTTCTCTACTGTGATAAAAATACATTTCAACTGAATGGATGAGCTGGAATGAGTTAAATCACTGGAATGAACGAAGTGACCCGTACATGTGTAGGACACTACTTACGATTCTCTCATTAATGACGGATGTGAGAGCGTGCTGGTCTCCTCGCAGACAGTACAGATTGAGGGCAAGCCATTCAAACAGTGATTGGTTACACATCTCCAGAAGACGCTGCCCGAACGTGGAGTCTACAAGACAATACAAAACATTTGACTATTTTCCACAGCAAACTCAGCTAGGCCATAGACGAGTGGAAATCCAAAAGTTCTATTCAGTGAAAAACAAAAATAGCTCATACGATTGTGTCTTCAATTGTTTTGTCTTTCTAATAAAAATCCACCATGATGGATCAGGCACTTTCTATTGTCACACAAATCGTGTGTCGCAGTTGGCACGCTAATGATGAAAAAAATGCGAACATTTTCGCTCGGTGTTTGCATCGCTATGGCAGGGTTTCGCAACTTGTTTTCAGTGAAGGCACCCTTTAAAATTATGGACAGTCCTGAGGCACCCCATTCTAAAATGTGAAATACTATTCTAATAGCAGCAACATCCACACATGTAGGACACCCAACATTAGAGGTGATTTATTCTTCCGAAGCGAATACACTTTTGCATACTGGTACTGACTAGTATGCCAATGTTTCTCTTCTCCCTCAGTTTTTCTCTTATCACTGAGCTAATGTGACCCCAGCACTGATGGAGAGGGGCAGGGGAGGGTCAAGCTAGGATGCTGTGAAGGCAGCTGACATCCTTCTTATCAACTGATGATGTCATTGGTTGTCAGGATGTCGACAGCTAGAAGGTTGTAATGGCACACAATGAACACCTGTGGCTTTATGTAACTAAATGGCAGGCTTGCTCCATCCGCTGGCTTGTATATGAGTTTTGGCCAATTTTTAGACATTTTGCAAAGGCACCCCTGAAGAGACTTCAAGGCACCCTGTTTTAGAAAGGTAGGTCTATGGCCACCTGAAGCCTGCTTCAGATCACATCATTGTTTCTCTGCTCTTCTAGCCATATTTGCTTTACTTCTGCTTCTACCTTCCTGAGAAAGCAATAAAATAACTTAGGGGTGGGGTTCAGTGGCAAAGTATAATGGTGCATTATTAGCAGAGAAGCGTTTAAACAGACCCTGTCACTTACTTAAATAAACAGGTATAAACTGAGAAAAATTGGATTTTTTTCTACATACCTGTAAAATCCATTTCTTGGATTACATCACAGGACACAGAGCAGGCAATAATAATGACTGTGGGTTATGTGCCACCTATAGGTGAAGGAACACTGGCAGATCAATCAAACAGGAAGTCCTCCCCGATAGGACCTCTCCTGCACAGGAAGTACTTCAGTTTTGTAGCACACAATGACTTTCCAGAAAGAGGGGGGGACCTCTGTTCTCCAAGAAATGGATTTTACAGGGGTGGGGCTGCGGTGTCACTCGGAGAGAGCCGGAGTGTTTTACAGACGGCGAGTGCATGGCTAGACGGCTGGCGGATTACTTGAGCTGAGCAATTCATCCTATACCGCATACTATTTATGTGAGTGTACCTGTTGGAGAGCAATAAAGCAAAACCTTTTTATAAGGCTAAAACACTATGTTTGGCAATTTGTCCCCACATATGGAAAAACGCATATGGGCTAATTGAGGATAACGGATATCCACGTTTTTTACAATCTGTAAAGGAGGAATTCCATCTAAGCAGGTTCCATAGGAGGTGAACCACAAGTGTGTATAGCCTAATTGCAGGCTAATAAGGAGGTGAGCATACATCTTCACTAATTAAGGATTCAAAGAGAGTCACGGATTCACAATAAGTCACCAAATCAAGATTTAATCAAGCACAAAGTCACTGTATTTAAAGGACATTAATATCACAAATTAATTTGCAGTACATATATATATTTTAAGTTATTTGTATTTTTTTGATTATTCACCAATCATGATGCATATTGATTTATTTTATATTTATGTTTTAGTACACAATATTTTATCACTTATTGTTTCTGGGGATATTATTTCCACATTTATAATTTCATCAGTGGATTATATATATATAAATTTTTTAATAATATATATATTTTTTATTCTGTATATATTTTTTGTAAAATCCCCTGATTATATATTTGTTCACCAAGGGTAAATAGAGTTATTAATATCACAGATTTTCTCACTGGGAGCGCAACACAATATGAATTATGGATTTTACAGGCAAGTATGAAAAAAATAAATAAATAGTTTTCTTTATCGTACATCACGTGACAGGAGGAGGCTAGGATCATGACTATGTGGGATGTCCCAAAGCAATAAAAAAAAAATCTCAGGGTGGGTGACACCATAATAACCACCCCCCCATTAATCTCAAAGGACTTGCTCAGCCGTTTGTAATATGCTTTGGCCAAAAGCAGAATCCTCCGTGGCTCTGACATCCACCTGGTAAAACCTTGTGAATGTATGAGTCGAAAACCATGTAGTGGCCTTGCAAACTTGAGCATCAGACACCTGATGGCAGATAGCCCAAGATGCCCCCACACCCCTGGTAGAGTGTTCTCTCACCCAAAAGGGTGGAACCTTGCCCTTCAAACCATAGGCTTGAATGATTAACTGGTGGATCCAATGAGAAATAGTTGACCTGGATGCCGCCTGCCCTTCTGACAGCACACAACAGGAATTCCTGATGTGTGCTGCCAAACGCAAGTAAATTCTGACCACCTGAACTACATTCAGAGTACACAGTGATCTTTCCACTGCTGACTGTGGACTAGGACCTTCACCAACCACCACAGTGGGCCAACCTTGAAATGGGCGCCACTGCCTTGGACCTGTACAGCACCCTGCCAGAAAGCGCCTTGTCAGCCATGTACTGCACAGGGTTCCGTTACACAGGGTCCAGCACCAGAAGGCTGCAATACAAGCAAAATCTGAAGGACTTGTCTCCTTATTAAGCGAGGCTTTGGTACCATCCATTTTGGCTAACAGCTTTTTGAATGGATCCAATTGAAGTCTTTGATTCTCTGCTCTGAACCTCAAGGTGTGCTCCAAGAGCACATGCAAGTACATCAATGACCATCCACCTTACAAAAGCTGGCACAAAAGCTGAAGTACTTCCTGTGTAGGAGGGATTATATAGGAGAGGACTTCCTGTTTGATCTGCCAGTGTCCATTCACCTATAGGTGGCCTATAACCCAAATAGTCCTGATTATAGCCTGCTCTGTGGCCCGTGATGTACAATAAAGAAAATCAAGTATCCTAAATGTTTTTTTTCCACCATTCCATAAACAATGTTTTATTCACTCACAATGTGCCTATGAACCTATCAAATATGACTTCAAGGACGAGCCCATTACCAGCACAACCCCCTATCTCCTTGCACGTCATAGCCCTTTTCCTCTTCTGGGATTGTCTAAATATTGTCTGTGCTAGCCCATCTCCTCCACCCATCCCCTCATCTCCCTACATAACCCTTTTTTCTAACTTCCAGGAGCGCACAAAAAAGAGAGGAATAAAATAGTGCATATAGCTCTGTGGCTGCTGACATCACATTCTAGACGGCAGCACCCAGCAACAGTCTCTGGGATTCTGAATGTCTACACGAGGGAGAATTTACAGGTAGATTTAAAAAAAACCTATTGAATTCACCTAGAATGCTATAGCAAGATGGTGGTTTAAAAGGAATGGTATGGAGACAGAGGGGTAGATTGACTAAAACTGGAGCACTCAGAATCAGGTGCAGCTGTGTATGGTAGCCAATCAGCTTCTTACTTCAGCTTGTTCAATTAAGCTTTGACAAACCCTGATTGGCTTCTGTGCAGAGTTGCACCAGATTTTGCACTCTCCAGTTTTAGTAACTAACGCCCAGTGTGTCTTTAATGGTGCATCACTTGCAGAGACTCAAGCATTACTCACAATTATCTAGCAATTCCTGACATCTTGGTGGTAATAACAGAAGCCTCTAGCAGGTGGAAATCCTCATTGCACAGAGCAGCATTTTTCAACCAGGGTGCTGTTGCAAAAGGACCAGTTGCTATATGCCAACTCCTGTAATACAGACTCCGCATCTCCTCTCTGCTCCTATCTGTACCCCGTCGGCACTCTGAATGTTTTGTGGGCGGCCCACCTGCATCTCACCAAACGATGATGTTCATCAGTTGCTAGGGACAGGTTGGACGGCTCGCCCAGCATTCTGAGCTGCCGGTAGGAGTACAGATAGAAGTAGAAAGGGGGAGAAAGCGGGGGGAGTAGGTGCAGGATATGCTCTCACTCCAGTCTGTATTGCAGGGTGCTAGTAGATCGTCGAAGTTTACAGATTTTATTACCGCCCCCATCTCTGGGAGGGGGGGGGGGGATTTGGTGCCAGGAGAAGGGAATTGGTGAGGGGAGACTTATGCCAGGAGAGGGAATATGGGGGTATTTGTGCGTTCTCACATCACACAATAATGCACTGCCATGTGCAGATGCCATGATTTTGTTAATAGCACCCCCACACATCTAGTAAATGTGAGTGTATCTGCACCTGCTAAAACACGTAGTACCGCAGAACCATGAGTTTTGGTGTGGCTTGATTTTAAAAATTATGCCAGTGCCTATTTCACACGTACATGAAGCAACCCATTAAAAAACTTGACGCAGTGGAACAAGCAAAAAAACGAGTCCTCAGGCTGGTGTGCCCCAAGATTGTGCAGAGTTTCAAAGGGTGCCTTGACTGAAAGGTGGTTGAAAAACACTGGCAGAGAGAGATTGTCTAATCATAGGAAAATATCCCTTCCCTCAGGCCTAAATTAATTTCAACACAACAGAGGTGAGAAAAGGATCAAAATATTACTCATATGCCAATGCTGCCATCAACTATTATGGTGTGTACCAGGGCTCAGGTGGTTAAGGAAGGAAAGAGCAAGACACTAACCCTTCTCTGCTCTTCCTGTCGTTTGTTATTTACCTGCACAATGTAGGATGTGTGTTGTGATCCTATTAAACTGCTCCTGCAGGAATTCCAGATTAGTTCTTGTTATGTCGACATCTTCGCGAACAGGGGCGGTGGCCTGCATATGAAGGGACAAAGTGATGAGGAACTAAAGCCCAAGTCCATGTTTCTGTTCACTTTAAATAGTTTGTTTGGGTCAAGTTCGCTCAGATGAACTACTTCTATAACAAAGTAAATCTGCTGCTGTCGGCACTGTATCAGAATTGGCTATATACAGTATCAGGGTGGATAAAAATCAATGATTTTTTAAAAAAAATCAAAAAAAAAAAAAAATTAAATTTTTGTTTTATTTAAACGGATGTTTTTGATTTTTTAATCGGATTTTTTTTTGTATAAAATGTTTTTTGAGGAAAATATATTACCATCCAAAGGTTATTCCATCATGAAATAAAGATTAGTTTTTTAATTATGTAGAATAAGGCTGTATATGTTTAATTTTTTTGGTAAAAAAATTCCATGAATCCATTCACAATGTCATGCTCTTCCAGAGGTTTTTGTAAGATTATTGGGCAGTTTCTCTGCCTACAAGATATTATCACAGATGTTTGGTTTACTTTTGCAGTTCTCAAAACTGAATTTGACTCGGCGGAGATCACATGCCTCTTCTTCACAGCAAAAATGTTATAACATGAACAGAGTTAAGAAAAAGACCTTCATCCTAACTTCTACAAACCTATGAATACAGAATCAACCCCTTCACTGCTAAGTTTCAAGAAGTTCAGTGAATAGAATAGAAACAATATTTTTCTGATTGTTTGGAGTGGAATAGATCTGCACAAGAAGAAAGTGAAACTGAAGTGTGAGGAGGAAGGGGCTGACAGTCTAAGTTTCTTAAAATATATATATTTTGTTTAGCCAAATTAGTTAACAAACATGGATGTTTAAGCAAATCACATATGCTGGAATGTTATTGTTTCAGTTGAATAAATCTATTTAAATTGGTATTATTAAGGTAATGATTATTTTTCTCCTTCCTAAGTACAACAGAAAAGTTGTCCAAATATGAATGATTAACCTATTAAACTGGGGATAAAAAAACTAATATGAAAAGTTGTTATTCTAAAAATCATCTACTTGCATATTAAAGTTATACCAGCAAGAATTAGTCTTTATGTAGAAAACTAGGATTTAAATCAAGCCTTACTGACTAGTGATTTATATCGTGATTTAAATCAGTTTGATTAAATCAAATCCACCCTGTACAGTATGCAGTGCTGTATCCTAGCACACTCACAGGCAACATCCCGTCTGCTACTGGAACAAAACTGAGTTGGGCTGAGTGCTTCTCAGCCATTCAGAGGAAGCCTAGTATTTTTAATCAGGGAATGCAAGGCTTCCTTTGATTGGCCTGAGGTGGAGAGGTGGACGGATGATGTTAAGATCGCCTCCTTCAGCCAGAGGAAGCCTTGTTTGGAAGCCATGGACTTAAGAGATACAGGTATGGGGATAATTAGCAAAAAAAAAAAAAAAAAAGCCACAAGGCATCCCTTACAAAGCTCTCGCGAATATATTCTTCCAAACCGTTCGTAAGATTCCGCGATGCCATCTGAAAAAGAGAAATATTTATACTGTCATTTATTCTGTCCCTTCAACAATTTAATAAATATCAACATTAGAAAACGGTTAAAGTCAAAACTACATTAAAAAAAAAAAAAAAAAAAAATGAATTATGGTATTTCTTTTTTTTTTAATCAAAACCCATACTTACCTAGGTGGATGCAGCATCGGTCCCATGCTGTGTCTGTCCCACGGCGGCTCTAAGGGTGAGAATTCAGCAATCACATGACTGCTGATCGCCGAGTTCTCACAGCCGCTCTAAGCAGAGATGTTGATGATCTCTGAGCCACTGTCTGCTCTGCCCCAGCTTACTGGAGAATGGGGCTGTGGAGGAGGAGGGAGCGGCTGGCTCAGGTTCAAAACAGATCACCGAGAGGCTGAGCAAGGTGTCGCTCCAGACTCTGGGGTGGATCTTTCCCAAGGCTGGACTAGCTGAGTGACATCAGTCAACAGCGGGCTGAAACAGGTCACAGGAGTGCAGAACAAACTGTGGTCCACAGGAGAAGTACGACTAAAATAGCTTTGGCTGTACTTCTGTAAGTTTCATTTAATAGTAATAGCATTTATACGGCTTCAATTTTTTTTTTTTTTTTATTGTGACTACCCATGCATATACTGGGTGACATTTTAGGTCATTTTTTTTTTTTTTTTTCTTTAACAGGTACACGATTTATTCAAACTATGCAATGACATTTTAGGTAAATTTGAGACAAACAGACAGATGTGTCAGAATGAGGAGCCGCAAACATTTTTCTAGACCAACTCGAATATATACTGTCTGCTTCAGCTCCTTCATCAAAGTCAGAGAAAATTAACCTCCCTTGATAGGGACCCCACGATCACACACCTGCCCCAAAATAAGAGCATTGTCAACTGGCGAGCAAAATCCTCTCTTGTATTAGAAGAGGTATAGACTCCAGAGAGAGAGATATCATTTCCCCGGTACAATCATTAGTAAGACCTCATCTGGAATATGCAGTTCAGTTTTGGGCACCAATTCACAAAAAGAACATTGGGGAACTGGAGAAAGTACAGAGAAGGGCAACCAAACTGATAAGAGGCATGGAGGAGCTCAGCTATGAGGAAAGATTAGAGGAACTGAATTTATTCTCTCTTGAGAAGAGGAGATTAAGGGGGGATATGATCACCATGTATAATACATAAGGGGGGATCTCCATGTATAATACATAAGGGGGGATATGATCACCATGTATAATACATAAGGGGGGATCCATGATACATAAGGGGGGATATGATCTCCATGTATAATACATAAGGGGGGATATGATCTCCATGTATAATACATAAGGGGGGATATGATCTCCATGTATAATACATAAGGGGGATATGATCTCCATGTATAATACATAAGAGGGGATATGATCTCCATGTATAATACATAAGGGGGGGTATGATCACCATGTATAATACATAAGGGGGGATATGATCTCCATGTATAATAGGGGGGATATGATCTCCATGTATAATACATAAGGGGGGATATGATCTCCATGTATCTACATAAGGGGGGATATAAATACATCAGTGGTTCATATAGTGAACTCGGTGTAGTTATTCAACCTGAGGTCATCACAGAGGACAAGGGGGCACTCTTTATGTCTGGAGGAAAAGAAATTTAATCTCCAAACACGGAAAGGTTTCTTCACAGTGAGAGCTGTGAAAATAGACTCCAAGAGTTGGTTCTGGCCAGCTCAGTGGATTGCTTTAGAAAAGTCCTGGATTCTTTCTTAGATACACAGAATATAACTGGTTATAACATTTATAGGTAAAGTTGATACAGGGAATATCTGATTGCCTCTCGGGGGATCAGGAAATAATTATTTTCCTAGCAGGAGCAAATTGGATCATGCTTTGGTTTTTTTTTTACCTTCCTCTGGATCAACTGCATGTGGGTAAAGTTGATACAGGGAATACCCAAATGCCTCTCGGGGATCAGGAAAGAATTTTTTTTCCTTGCAGGGGCAAATTAGCTCATGCTTTGCTGGGTTATTTTGCCTTCCTCTGGATCAACTGTGGGTATAGGATTATAACTTTTTTTTTTTTAATGGTTGAACTGGATGGACTTTTGTCTTTTCTCAGCCAGACTAACTATGTAACTATATGAAACTATGAAGAAAGAGCAGAGAGGGTGACCAGGAAAGTTTTGGACTAAGTCACAAAAACAGGATAACGGTTTTAATAGAAAAAAGCATCTCTGCAAATAGCTGAAATAAAATACATATTAAAAAAGTGTCACAACTTGTACCAAACTGAAAAAAACAATGATTTTAAAAAAGCAACAAGTCCTCTCTTTCTCGCTCCCTCCTTTCTGCGCTCTCTCATCCTGTGTTCCTTCTCTCGCCCTTTTCTCCTGTCGCTATCTTTTGCCTACTTATGGTTTTTGCAAAAAAAAAAAAAAAAAATGATTGGCTCTAGAGGACCAAACCTACATGGCTGGGACTCAGGTTAACGTTTGGGAGAGATGGAAGGAGCTTGTACCATGTCCCTTGCCTGGTAACGGACCTTTGGTCGTACTGACATTTCATCTGTCTACCCTCTGCTTCATGTGTGCTGCAGTGAGGCACGGTTTTTGTACATTATGGCTGTAACCGATGCTTATAATGTTTGCCGTTGTCCCACCATGCTGGGTGGATTGTTTGCCTTGATGTTGTAATCTGTACTGTGTTGAAGAGTGAAATAAAAAATTTTAAATAAAAAAAAACAAAAAACAAAACCCAGATCCTCCTTTATACCAATATCCAGGAAACAAATCAAGTGGTTAACTGCCAATACCAACATTTGAACTGTGCTACGAGCTAGAATGTCCATCCAGTTCACAATGCATGTTACAATCTTACTGAACGAACTTCTTTAGATCTACCAACTGTGTACTGCAGGGACCCGTCTTATTGCATAGGTTAGGTAGGTCCTAATTACAGATTTTTGATAAACTTTGGAGTCACCAAGTTACAACCTGACCATATAATCAACTTGAGATTTATCAAAACTAGGGAATATTAAAGTGTTACTAAACCCACAACAGTAAAATCAGTCTGTATATTCAGTAAAGCATGCTTGTTATACTCACGGTGGAACCTAAGGGGTTAATCCTCTGCATTGTGTAAAAAGGATGTTTGATCCTGTCTTCTCTGATCCTCCCCTCCCTCCATGTTCCCCATTTCATCTCCTGATAGAACAAAGGCTCGGAGACACTCTGCACTTGCTGAGTTTGGTGTGTACTGCTAGAGAGTTTTTCTTTTTCTTGGGAAGGTGCATGTTATCACAGAGGGTCAGGGGTTATGCAATCTCATAGGACAATCAGAGCAGAAAGAAAACTCCTCCTACAAGCTTTATCCAGTGCACTGCTGGACACTGAGAGAAGTCACAAGACTGCTTTATACTGCTGATGAGAAAAGGTATTTTGCAGTTTATATTTACTAAAATAATTGCATTTCAATGTTCTGTGTACTGTGGGAGACCAGGCAAAGTGAATGCAGGGTCCTGAGTTTAGTAACACTTTACGATCTACCTAATCTATCCAATCAGGCAGGCCCTTGTACTACACAAGATGATTGTATGATCAGATTTTAATGCATGTGATGAGCCTAAGGGAGATTTTACAAAGGTTGTGTAGTTCGTTTGTGATGCGAATGGTGAGCTTAAAAAGGCAAAGTTAACCTATAGGAAGATGCTATACTCATTATTATTATTCAGGATTTATATATCGCCAACAGTTTGCATAGTGCTTTACCCATATTTAGGGTATAACATGTTCCAGCAATAGAGATGTCTGCAGGAGCCTGACAAATGTACCCACAATACACTGATCATGGGGTGCAATGCTTTAAAGGCTCCTGTGTAAAAAAACAAAAAAAAAAAAAAAAAAAACACATTTCCTGTAAAAAACATGCATTTATTTATTAAAAGGTAAACTGAGCCTTTAAGGTTTCAACATATATAATTTTGTTCAATCAAATTGGGAAGGCTTTCAAGCACCGCTCCCTACAGGACTGCAGAGTCAAACAATCTTTGCAGTCTCTTTACTGAGAAATAATCTCAGGAGACTAAGGAAGGGGGGGGGGGGGGGGTCTATTTTTTCTGAATGACTATGGCTTAGCATAGTTTACAGTGCACATGGCCTAGACATTCATAATTAGTCCAAGCAAAAGGTTGTTTTGGGGGGCAGAGCTAGTAATTCCTGGTCTGCAGAAGTTCCTAAACACCGAAATATGGGCTGTCATTTCTGGCTTGCTTTTTAAAAAAAAAGGTGAAAGCCCCTGGGCTATCATCCTGATTCTTTGCCTTAGAACCATCAGCATTAAAGTAGACTTCCAGCTTTAATATCACTTTACTGCTGGCCAAGGAAAATATTTCTATTAGAAAACAATGTGACTGCAGTGTGTGTTGTAATGGGCAGCACAGTGGCTAAATTGTTAGCATTTCTGCCTGGCAGTACTAGGGTTGTTGGTTTGAATCCCAACCACGGCACCACCTGCCTGAAGTTTGCATGTTCTCCCTGTGTCTGGGTTTCCTCTGGGTACTCCTGTCTAAATTGGCCCTAGTATGTGTATGTATGAATGTAGGTTAGGGACCTTAGATTGTACGCCTCTTGAGGGTTATGGACTGATGTGAATGTACAATCAATATATATATATGTAAAGTGCTGCATAAATTGACAGCGCTATATAAGTATCTGAAATAAATAAATATCAACTTCAGTTCTGCAAGATTTTACCCCTTCATGACCAGGCCTTTTTTTTTTGCTATACCGCACTGCACTACTTTAACTGGTAATTGCACGGTTATTGAACACAACAAAAAAATTGTATACATTTTTTTCACACAAATAGAGCTTTCTTTTGGCGGTATTTAATCAGCACTGGGGTTTTTACTTTTTTCAAAATAAACAAACAAAAAAACCTGAATATTTTGAAAAATAAAAAAAATGTAATAAGTGTATATTGATTGGTTTGTATGAAAGTTATAGCGCCTACATACTATGGTATAGATACTGGATATTTTTTTATACTACCAATGGTGGCGACTTATAATGGAACTGCGGAGGGCAATTTGCCACGAACTGACAGTGACATCACCAGTGGCATTAATACAGTGATCAGTGAGAATACTATACACGGTCACTGTACTAATGACACTGGCTGGGAAGGGGTTAACGTCTAGGGTGATTAAAGGGTAAAATGTACGCCTAACTATGTGTAATGTGTGAAGTGTGCTGCTTTTACGAATAGATCTCTCAGTTTCTCATCCCTGGAGAAACTGACAGATCGCTCCCTCTGTGCAGGATTCTGGGCTGTGGTTCTACACAGCTGATCAGCAGGTCCCAGCCAGGACTTGTTAACAGGCTACGATCACAGCTACTATAACAGGTGTACAATCACAGCAGGGGGAGGGCATGCGCCCGAAACCCGGAAGTAGGCAGCAATGCACCAGTACACCGCTTTGCCTACAGTGGCCGCCCATCCACAGTACATTGCGGGCGTAAACTGGATATACTGTAGTAGCATTAGGTACATACAGTAAGCAGCGCTGCGTTCCGGCAGTAATACAAGCAACTTCCTGTCTGCTGCCGAAATAAAGAATCATGCCGAGAGCTTCTCTGCCATTCAGAAGAAGCCTTGTGTATGTATCAATTAATACAAGCTGGAAATCTACAGTTGCAAGAAAAAGTATGTGAACCCCTTGGGATTACGTGGAGTTTTGCATGAATTGGGCATAAAATGTGCTCTGAACGTCATCTAAATCACAGCAATAGAAGAACACAGTCTGCTGAACATAATACTACACAAACATTAGATGTTGCCATGGTTTAATTGCACATAACATGTAAACATTCACAGTGCATGGAGGAAAAAGTATGTGAGGCTCTAGCTTAATGACTTCTCCCAGAGCTAATTGGAGCCAGGAGTGAGCTAACCTTGACTCCAATCAGTGTGATGATATTGGATGTGTTGCTGACAGCTGTCCTGCCCTTAAAAAACACACACCTGTTTTGGGTTTACTGGTTTCAAGGAGCACTGTATGATGTGAACCATGCCTCGCAGAAAAGAGCTCTCAGAAGACCAACGATCAAGAATTGTTGACTTGCATGAAGCTGGAAAGGGTTACAAAAGTATCTCCAAAAGCCTTGATGTTCATGTGTCCACGGTAAGACAGACTGTCTACAAATGGAGAAAGTTTAGCACTGTTGCTACTCTCCCTAGGCTTAGTCGTCCTGTAAAAATGACTGCAAGAGCACAGCGCAGAATGCTGCATGAGGTAAAGAAGAATCCCAGAGTGTCAGCTAAAGACCTACAGAAATCTCTGGCATATGCTAACATTTTTGTTGACACATCTACAATAAGGAAAACATTAAACAAGAATGGAGTACATGGGAGGACACCACGGAGGAAGCAATTGCTGTCCAAAAAGAATATTGCAGCACGTTTGAATTTTGCAAAAGAGCACCTGGATGTTCCACAGCACTACTGGCAAAATATACTGTGGACAGATGAAACCAAGATTGAGTTGTTTGGGAAGAACACACAACACTATGTGTGGAGAAAAAAAGGCACAGCACACCAACATCAAAACCTCATCCCCACTGTAAAACATGGCGGAGGGAGCATCATGGTTTGGGGCTGCTTTGCTGCCTCAGGGCCTGGACGGATTGTTGTCATTGATGGGAAAATGAATTCCAGAGTTTATCAAGACATTTTGCAGGAAAACGTACGACCATCTGTCCGCCAACTGAAGCTCCGCAGAGGATGGGTGATGCAACAGGACAATGACCCAAAGCATACAAGTAATTCAACAAAACAATGGCTGCAACAGCACAGAATACGCCTTCTGGAGTGGCCCAGTCAGAGTCCTGACCGCAACCCGATTGAAATGCTGTGGCATGACCTTAAGAGAGCGATTCACACCAGACATCCCAAGAATATTGCTACACTGAAACAGTTTTGTGAAGAGGAGTGGTCCAAAATTACTCCAGATCGTTGTGCAGGTCTGATCTGCAACTACAGGAAACGTTTGGTTGAGGTTATTGCTGCCAAAGGAGGGTCAACCAGTTATAAAGTCCAAAGGTTCACATACTTTTGCCTCCCTGCACTGTGAATGTTTACATGTTATGTGCAATTAAACCATGGCAACATCTAATGTTTGTGTAGTGTTATGTTCAGCAGACTGTGTTCTTCTATTGTTGTGACTTAGATAACGTTCAGAGCACATTTTTATGCCCAATTCATGCAAAACTCCACGTAATCCCAAGGGGTTCACATACTTTTTCTTGCAACTGTACTTTAAAATCCAAGTCAGCAATGGCAGCTCCCAAAATTTCGATCCTAACATGTTCCTTATCAGCAAATTTAGAAGTCCTAATAACAGGCACATGATATTTAGAGATGTAGTTTCACAAACAGCAGGGTGCCCGTACATTGGCAGCGATGGGTGTACCTGAATATTCTGTGGAGTGGGGTCAGCCTGGCGTAGATACTGTTGCAGGAAGAAGGATCGCAACTGAGGTTGCAGGTTTTGCAGTGGCTGCGACTGGCCATGTAATAACATCACTACATCCACAAGTGAGAAGTGATGACAGATGAGAGACAGGAGATCACCAAAGAACCCTGGAAAAAGGAAAAGCAAGACAGTTTAAAGAGCAACTTCAGGCACATAACCAGCCAGTGGACTGCTAAAGCCATCAAGGAAACACTGCAACCATGTTAAATGTATTCAAATTCAGAAGGATTCAGCAGGATTTTCTGAATGCTTCTTAGTCAGACTTCTCAAGCAATCCTTTGCTCTGCCGACAACCATCTAATGCTCCCATGCTTGTAGGTGAGACTACAGAAAGAAGGTGGTAGCGGAACCAGGGGCCACATTAGTCACCAACCAGGGGCATTTAATAGCCTAACACACTAGCAGCTGAAGATTTTTCATATCAGGATAGCCATGCGCACCAGATGAACTCAAAAGCGAAAATTCTCAGTGCAGGCTATCTGAATTTTAAACTCGCTTTATAATGAACCTGCAATTAAAACTACCTGCTATGTTTTTGCTTTGAAGAAAACAAAAAGAACACCAGTAAATGCTTAAAATACATACCTTTCCTGGAGAACATCCTGCTTCAGGCTCCTTCTAGTGCTGCTTATAAAACAAACAGCCTAGGCAACTGGTTATGTGATATTTGTTGGAGGGGGACTAAGCAGATCACCCATTCAGCAGAGATCAAGAGACCAAACAGCTAGGTGTTTATGTAAGCAATACTGGAAGGTATGACAGCATTTTTTTTGTCCTGGGAAGGTAAGTGTGTAATCCCTTCTACCTATCGTTTTACTAATGCTGGCACAGACGAATTGTCGGCCGATAAACGAAAAATCGGTCGTTGCTGCCACCAATGCTTACGAAAAACGGACGGATTTTGTAGCATAACCGATAAAAAGAAACAAGAAGAACTGCAAAAATCGGCCGACGACATTGCCCCACTAACGGTGTGAATATCGGCCGATTTTTCGTTCTCGTGAAAATTCGGCCGATAAATGACCTGTCTATGGCCTGCATTAGTTGTGAAAGATAAAAGGATCTTTTTTTTTTTATGCTCTTGGCTGGTAAATAAATGAAGATGGTCAGCAAAACAGCATATCAGAAGGAAGTAATCAATGGCAGCCTTTGTATTCTCATGACAGGAGGACTTGAATGATTGTCCTGCAATACAAAAGGTGAACCTACAGACAGCAGTTTAGGGGAAAGAAGACATAAAACATCCTTAGCTCGGTGATACGAATAAGGTGCAGTGGAAGAGAGCGCAGCAGGTAAGATACCGACCTCCAGGCCCCTCTGTGTCTGGTTGAAAGATGTTGGGGGAACCGCTGAGGCGCTGGATGAAGGCTGCAATGCTTTCTGTCCCGCTCTGATCCGCTGCACTAAGTGAGCCCAGCATAGAGGACAGAACACCCTGCACCACGCTGGTGAAGAACTCTGGTGGGAGGGAATCTGGAGCAGCTGCTTGTGGTTGTGCTGGGCCAGTTGGTGGAGGAGGTGGAGGTGCAGAAGCAGAGGGCTGTGCAAACGACTGAGGTGGTGTGACAGACACATTGACATTTTGTGTAGCCTGCAGAAGAGAAAAATAGAAAACACACAGAAATCTTATCATTGTAAACATATAGTACAAAAAAATATATGCAATTCAGCAAATCAGCTACAAAAAAAAAAAAAAAAAAAAAAAAAGTGATTTCCAAAAGGCTGACCAGAAGGACTAATTGGGAATGACCCCCTCTAGTGAGCATCAGGAGCACCTATCTTAAAGATGGCCATACAGAAACCAAGAGCAACACAGAAGGGTTTTGGAGCACAAATGATGGTGTACGTGGACCATGGAAGTCTGACATCCCAAAGGATCAGGCCAGTTGTAAAGTTTTCACCCTCCAATATATTTGCCTCAGTCAATAACGTTGGAATAATGGATATAGCTCAGCACTGTTTATAGGCAATAATGGGGAGATTGCCCAACATTCAATGAATAGTGGATATGCATGCTGGGTTAAAAGGACCATCTGAGGGCTTCCTTGCTAATTTCCAAAGGACCAGACTTCTCCTTAAATCGGGACTGCAGACAAACCACTACATATGCAGAAGAGCGGTTTTACCTGACAAAATATTTGTATTTCGGACCATCCAGCCCTGAGATTTACACAGCACCATCACTCAGCAAAACACTTTCTAGCAGAGCAGGAGCCGTACTTTTTCTCTGCTGCATTTAATAACAATTACAGGTCTTGTCTCTCCCCCAGCCTGTGACTGTACAGTGAAAGCAGAAGTTGCAGACTGATGAGCTCATAGTATCACACTCTCTCCTCCTATCAGCATGTTCCTTGTTAACACACACTCACTGGCCATTTTATTAGGTACATCTTGCTAGTACTGGGTTGGACCCCTTTTGCCTTCAGAGCTGCCTAATTCTTCGTGGCATAGATTCAACACGGTGTGGGAAACATTCCTCAGAGATTTTGGTCCATATTGACATTATAGCATCACGCAGTTGCTGCAGATTTGTCAGCTGCACATCCATGATGCAACATCCCAAAGGTGCTCTATTGGATTGAGATTCGGTAGCTGCGAAGGCCATTAGAGTACAGTGATCTCATTGTCATGTTCAAGAAACCTGTTGGAGATGATCTGAGCTTTGTGACATGGAGCATTATCCTGCTGGACGTAGCCATCAGAAGGTGAGGACACTGTAGTCATAAAGGGACGGACATGGTCAGCAACAATCCTCAGGTAGGCCATCTAATCTTAAGATGGCCATAGATGGACTGATTTTAGGCCGGTTCAGTAAGGACCAGCTAGATTTGATCCATCTATGGGCAGGCAGATTGTCCATCGATCAACTTGGGTACAACCAGCATGTCGGATTTTTAGCATGCGGTTATTGCCAGCGACTATAGTTGCTAGCAGTAATCAGTACGTTTCTCCTGGCAGGGACGGCTCTCCGTGTAACCTGTGCTTCCAGGAAAGAAAATTGCATAAACTATGGCCTGCCTTACTGCTACTGATGTTATTCTCTACAATCCACTGATCAGAATACTTCATCTAAACACATGTAGAAAAGGTTTCTGGCAATTATGGCCTATGTATTGTCACCTCCCCAAAAAGGGAAAGCTGCGCAAAGAGAAATGTGGAAATGCAAATACCTGCAATAGGTCATTGACTCCTTGCATGAACGCAGGCATTCCAGGAACTGCCACGGCAATGCTTGGCGATCCCATTGCTATGTTGGCCACGCCAGAGCTTGCAGTGCCCAGTAATGAGCCGAGGAGCTGAGACAGCTGCTGTTCCAGGCCAGGAGGCGGCTGCGAGGGAGGAGCAGAGGGTGTAGAGGGGGTAGAGGGAGCCGAGGGTGCAGAGGGAGTGCTTGGAAAGGTTGAGGAGGATGTGGTAGTTGTGGTGGTTGATGTTGAGCTGGAAGAAGTGGAAGCAGAGGAGGAAGAAGAGGTGCTGGTTGTACCGCCACTCTGAGCTATAAAAAAGGGTGAAACTGTTAAAACCCCAACAGTGTGACACAGGACACAACAACGAAGATCAAATAAGGGCAACAAAACAAAAAGGAGAAAAGATAAATAAAAAGCTGAATAAAGCCAAACAAGGCCCCTTGATAAAAAGTGTATGTAACAATGAAAAACAATTTGCTGCCTTTTGGTGTGCTTAATATACCACTGAAAACATTGATATCTTTAATATCTATCCAAGAGCAAGGAAATACGGTGCTTTTCTTGTATCCTATGCATGCCACAGTCTTATCTTAAGCATTTTTAACCGTGCCCAGGTTACTTCTGTCAACTACAGAGCACCTCCACCATTACAGAAACAAGAAGGGGGGGGAGGTGTTCTGCAGTCCTAACACACTTTGTCATACGGTGACAGCACCGTTCCTCCATAAATACACGAGTGAACAGTGTTACCCTATGACAGAATTGTATGACTGACAGGAACACCAGGTGAAAATATATATAGGGGAAAAAGCCTGGAAAAAAAAAAAACCCCAAAAAAAACACGAATGCAGCTACCACATTTAAGGACTGGTAAACAAATTGCAGCTACCACATTTAAGGACTGGTTAACTAATATTTTACATCTTTGTTCTTGGGTTTAAATACCTTTAAAGTTCTCTTTTAAATCAGTTGCTTTTTTAGTGAAAAATTTCTCAGTACAAAATGTACACACATATCCCATCCCCAGCCTTCCCCCTGCAACCATCCCCAAAACCTGTACAAGAGAATAGCTAGATTGTAAGCTCCACGAGCAGGGCCCTCCTATTCTGTATGCTTACCTATTTTCAGGCCACTCCAGTCTGGTCACATGATCTCCTCTATATCATCCAGCTGCAGGGAAGGAGAGGGCCCTTGACAACAGCTGGTAATGCCTGGGACCACTGACGTCACCCATATGACACATTCGTTGTCAGCGCTCCCTGCCCTGCAGCCGCCTGACATAGGGGAGCCAGGTCATGTGGCTGAAGCGGTCTTTCTTACACAGGTCTTTAAAGATTAGTTAGATGTATCCCAGAATTCCACTTTAACATGTTCCCTATCTGATCACCAGGACAAATAAAAAGGTGAATCACCTCGATGGGGGCACAGATTGCAATACAAACAGCAGGGCTCTAACCCTTCAATAATCAAAAAATAAATAAATGAAAAATTGCCTTTAGGCCAAATGAAAGATTCAGAAAAGTTCGACACACTACAAGGATTACTCACCCACAATGACTGGATGCATGAGGAGTTGCCCCACTAAGCCACTGATCATCTGTGTTAAGGAGCTTGGAGCAGCCTAGAGACAAATTAAAGGGGTATAAAGATAAAAAGCAACAGAAACGCAACCTGGCGGACAAATACCAAGGTCACATACACACTTGAAATGCTTTACTTTCTAAAATATTTGTAATTCTGTGCAACCACTCATGATCCACACATTCCTACTGTGCTTGCCAGAAAAACAGCTTAGACATTTGGGTACTTGTCTGTTAATTCACCGGATAGATTATATATATATATATATATATATATATATATATATATATATATCTATATATCTATATCTATCGATTATATCTATCGATTATATCTATATCTATCGATTATATCTATATCTATCGATTATATCTATATCTATCATATCTATCTATCTATCTATCTATCTATCTATCTATATAAAAATCGGTGAATAAACAGACAAGTACCGACATTTGTGATACAGCTGTGAATCCACCTATTTATCTGGGGCTCTGGTGTAAGTATAGAAAAAAAAAAAAAAACCAAAAAAAAATTAACCTTGTTTTTTTTTTAAATTTGTGTTTTTTTGAGTCAGTTTTTCTTCATTGTGTTCTGATGATTGTCATTTTGTCTTTATTGGCTGTCTGTTTTCTGTCATTGTTTTGCTGGTTGCCGGAGTGATGAGCTATGGCGGCTATATGTTTGGCTAGTTTATCCTGTCTATGGTAAAAGAAGTGGGTTATGATGGGCCGGTCCTTGGCGGGGCATGGAGCTTGATGCTCTCCTCTCTTCCACTGGTGGGCTTGCCTGGATACAGGGGGAAACGATGCGAATGTACGTGCCGCCATTTTCCGGCTGCCTTAGCCAGTGGGCTGGGTGGTCAATTAGCAGTCTCTTAGGAGAACACCACCTCACTCCCCACCCAACCGCTGAGCAGCTGCAGCTTTTTTGTCTGCGCCCATACATGCCACCATGTTTATGGTATAATGGGACAGACCATACCCAATATACCCATATATGAGCAGCCATTTTGGGGCTAGTATTTTCTGCTCCATTCCAGACGGGAGATGTATGCTTTCCGCTGTTAAAGGAGGTATTTACACCTTGCACTTGACTTGTTGAACAGTTTTAAAAGTATTTATACTGCCCCCTTCTTTCTCTCCACAGAGCCTGATACCTCGCTTTGGAACACACTTGTACATGGGATTCTCTTTTCAGCAGTATACTTTCCCCCTTTGGTAATATTTATAATGGAAATATTTATTTTCTACCATGCATTCTATTTGAGCTCATTTGTTTATGACAGTTCTGGCTACAGGGCAATAAAGTGTGAAAGCACTGCGGTCTGAGCCCCCAATACCTGCACAGCCTCCTCAGGCTGATGCAACCCTGGGGTCTCAACTCCTCCCCTGGCTTGTGATTGTTCAGCGATACCTACTTTGATTAAATATGGTCTTTGTAAGTAGGATTAATTTTGATGGATACTATTTGTCAATCATACCATACATTACAGCTGTATACAGATATTGTTCAAAATGTTCATAAATGTATGTATATTTCTGTTACCAGCACCTTTAACCACTTGCCTACAGGGCACTTATACCCCCTTCCTGCGCAGGCCAATTTTCAGCTTTCAGCGCTGTCACACTTTGAATGACAATTGCGCGGTCATGCAACACTGTACCCATATGAATTTTATAATTGTTTTGAGACACAGAGCTTTCTTTGGGTGGTATTTAATCACCACTGGGTTTTTTTATGTTTTTATAAACAAACCAAAAACAACTGAAAATTTTGAAAAAAACGTTTTTTTCTTAGTTTCTGTTATAAAATTTTGTAAATGAGTAATTTTTCTCCTTCATTGATATTCACTAATGAGGCTGCAATGATGGGCACTGATAGGCTGCACTGATAGGTATTGACAGGCATCACTGATGGGCATTCACAGACATCACTGGTGGGCACTCAAAGGCAGTACTCATATATGGCACTCATAGGCGGCACTGAAAGGCAGCTCAGATGGGCACTGATATGTGGCATTGATGTGCACTGGTAGGCACCGATAGGTGGAATTGATGGGCAATGACAGGTGGCACTGATAGGGCTACACTGATTATCAGGGCACTAATCATCAGTGCCCTGATGATCAGTGTAGATGTCCCCTCTGAGGAATGCCAATTACCGGCTCTCCTCTCTGCACGAGCTGTCAGAGTGACAGCTCGTGAGGAGAGAAATGCTGATAACCGTCATTTCCTTATTTACAAGCAATCAGCTGTGATTGGACACAGCTGATCACATGACAGAGCCAAAGTCATTGTCTCTTTCCGCTGTGTGGGACACAACTCAAGACCGATCGTCGCGCTGCGTGCCCCCCAGGGGCGCGATAGCGCGGTTAGAGTGGGAGGACGTTATATGACATCCTCCCAGAACAAGAGAACCGCCTTGCACCCATCATTTCCTTATATGGCGGGCGGGAGGCGGTTAAGTGCCCTGAAGAAGAGCAGTCTGAGAAACGAGTAAAAACAAAGTATTTCTTTCTCCCCCACCCTTCAGCAATAATATGATATTTGATCTGTATTCACTATTTTGTGCAACATATGTTATGCTATCAAGTGGTAGCTGGTTTCCTTTGATATCATTGTACTGGGTGGGATATACAAGGCGTTCTGTCTTGTAACATGACAACGGTACGTGGCTGTAATGCATTTCAGTCTGTTAACTGTATTCTGTTAACTTAACTACATTTTTAATATACAAGGTCTAATAAATTAATGGATTTTAATATAATAGTGTCTGTTGTGCATTCTTGAGGTTTTTAGCACCATTAAAGTCCCATACTTTTTCTACCCTTGTTATTCTTATATATCTGTGTGGTGCTTGTTATTCCCACCTACGCAATCTCTCCTAAAAACCATAAAAGGAGAAGCATAGCCAAAGCTTCTTTTGTCTCTACTGATCACAGGAGAGCAGTTCGTTCTGCAGTCTTGTGACCGGTTTTCAGCAGACAGCGGGCTAAAGACCGCTGTTGGCTGATGTTACTGAGCCAGTTCATGCTCTGAAAAGAACCCAACCATATGGTTGGGATCCACCAAGAAGCCTGGACCGCCACCTGGCTCAGTCTCTTAGCAGATCTGCAAACAGCCTGCGCCAGCCCCTCCCGCACCCTCCACAGCCTGGCGCTAAAGTGAGCGCTGGAGAGGCAGAGCAGAGAACAGGAGACTGACAGCCACGGCTCTCTGCTCAGAGCAGAGGGGAGAACTAAGCGATCGGCAGTGTTTGATTGCTTAGTTCTCACTGCAGAGCCGATGGTGGACAGATGCAGCATACTTCTTTTAACCACTTCGCTTCTCTGGATGTACTATGCACATTTAGGGTATGAAGGGTTTAAAACAAGCTCATGGCTAGTCACTGTGGTACTGCCTGATCACAGTTACAGTGTTTATGGTATCAATCAAAAATACCTGTTGATTCTGACAGAAATCCATCGCTGTCCTGTGCACTCTGTAGTACTACCTCAAACAAATGTTAATGTGCATTAGGACTGGAGTTCTCAAAGAGGACTGCTTGCTGGACTACAACATCCCCATGTTATAAAGGTGATGATAGGGGAAGGTGTTCTGTAGTCCTAACAATTTTGCTGCTCTTCCATAGATACAGTACAGTGAGTGTTGTCACTTTTTATGACAGAAATTGTGTTACTGGCAGGATCGCCAAATGAAAAAACAAAATTAAAACAATTGCAGCCATCACATCTAAGGACTTGTAAGCTGCAATACACTATACTTGTTTTTATTTTATAAGTTTAGTACTATAACCACAATAAAATAGCTCAAACCTGATAATCTGGAGGAAAAAAAAAATAAAAGAAGAAAAATAATGACCATGCAAAGTAATTTGCCCTTACCGCTGTTCCAGATCCTGCCCCATGAGTAGTCCCTGATCCAGTGGAAGAGGGGGTGGTGGTCGTGGTTCCAGCTGGGGGTGGGTGAGGAGGAGCAGCTGGTCTTGTGAATACAAAACGAGGAGGAGCAGCCTGAAAGCCAGGAATTTGCTGCCCTGTAAGCAATTTTAATAAATTGTAAAGTCCTGGAAAAAGATCATATACTGAGGCAAAGAAGACTAAATGTCCGCTGTCATCATCGAGATCTCGACACAAAGATATCAGTGGCAGAAAAGTAAGTACACAGCTTAAAGAACCAACCTAGTTTAAGGGCTTCTGTTAAAGAGAACCAGCCAGGAATGGCATTTATAGGAGTCTGAATCTCCCCACATATGTGGAGCTCAATGTCGGGATGTAAGGCCCCATAAAGACTGATCTGTCTCTTGTCTGAGCTCAGAGCTTGGAACATGAACTATTGCCCTGTACTCACCTGAGGCAGCAGCCATTGCTTGCTGTGTGATCTGGTGAGAAATGGCCTGCATGAATTCAGGAGGTAATCCGGGCATGTGTATATGCGTGCCACCACCTGCAACACAAAACACCAATCACTAGTAAAGAATTTGCAGGCATGATTAAAAAAAAAAAAAAAAAAAAAACCCCCCACACAGGGAGGTTAGGAGCTTGTTAAGAGTAATACATAATAGGAGGGGGCACTCTCATTCACAGAAGCACGGCTTGGGAGTGAGCCTGCTCAAGTACCCCCATACTAAAAGGCTTGCTAATTGGGGGCACTCAGCAGAGGGGAGGAGCCAGGACAGCCGGCAGGAAACCCAAAAAAATAAGAGGATAGGGGCTGCTCTGTGCAAAACCATTGCACAGGGCAGGTAAGTATAACATGTTTGTTATTTTGTAAAAATAAAACACGAGCCTTTAGAGGTGTGCTTTAAAGCACACGTGTACTCCTTTTAACAAGTTTCCATTCTGAGTCTCTTTTTATCCAAATGACCCATCAGTTTTAACATTACACAGTGCTTTCAATCTAACATCTGCAGCTTGTTGACAAGAGGGAGCAAAGTGAATAAAGTGATGACCTAACATGTCTTGTAAAGCTACCTCACTGCACAACAAGCTGAAGGCAGGTCCAGCAATGGAGAAAAATGAGGTCAATGACCCGGTTGTGCTGCATGGCAGGAGGTTTATGTATCCCCGGACTGGCTGAACAAAAATTATCACGTGGGAGAGGTGCACACTGAACATCTCTAAGCACACAATTAACATTTGTCTCACCTGCTGAGGTTGGTGGAATATTTGATGACCCCCCAGGTCCAGATTCTGAAACATTAAAAGACCACAAAGTTAAACCTGATGCAAAGTATGGTGATGGATAAAGGTAGCTTACTAGATCCAAAGCCTAACCAGCTCACCCTGGATATTCATCATCATCATGACTGGCTCCACTGTCTGGTGTGTGATGCGTATAACGCGTGGGTGCGGGGGAGGAGCAGTGGTAGGAGGAGCCTGAGATGGTGTGGGCTCCCCAGAAGCAGGGCCCTGGGTGTCGCTGGCTCCACGTGCTGTGTCTGAAGTGCTAGAAGGAGTGGTTGAGGTTGCCGTTCCTTCGCTTGTCTGACTGGCATGAGCTCCATTCCCTGTCATTGTCACTGTGGTACCGACATTAATCTGGAAGGAAAACAATTCAACAGACAGAATAAGGAAGAAAAAACAAAAAGGCAATTGGTCTTACTATAGTGGCTTCGGCCATTCATGTGAACCATCACTGATGCTATTGTGGCATTAACATTTCCTTTCAATAGATTTTTATTGAAAAATGTTTAAAAAAAGGATACAATGGCAACCACAGTTATGTATACAGGTGGAAGTATGAAAGCAACAATGAATAAAATGAAGGAGGCCTTGGTGGCATTGACATGTCAATTAAGGCTTTGTTCACACCTGTGCACTGTGGTAACCTGCAGTAGAACTCACACAATAATGCAGGAATTAAATGCCTTAAAGCAGACCTTGCAATAAAATCCAAGGTCCGTTTACACTGTCTGGGTATCATCCCCCTGTATAAATCACTAGTTGATAATAGGTCCAAGACATACCTGTAAAAACAGAAAAGATCGATACAAACCTTACCAAAGTGTTTCACCAACAGTGACCAGGCAAGCATGAGGTCTGAATCCTTCCCGGGTCATACAAAGACGATACTCTTTCCACTGACTACAGTGTCTTCTCACGAGGTCTGAGCTACTTTGCATTCCCCAGGAATCTTCCCAGAAGAGAAGTGATGGGACACCCAAAAGATGCAGAAGGCAGGGGTGAGATAAATAAAATTTGCTTTTTTTTAATTACATTTACATTTTGGATTTACTATCTGATAAGCGATTTATACAGGGGGCCTGGACAGTATAAGGCGACCTTGCTGTAAGGTCCAATGCATGTTAAGGCCTGTGCATTAACAGCACTGTAACAGTGAGTTGCCCGGAAAGGTGGGGAGAGGCAAAAAAAAAAAGACTGCGGGAGCAAGAGTTACATAGAGGGAAAGAGACAGAGGTGGAGAGATAAAAATGAGAAGGTAAGAGATTATCCCACCTGTATAGGGATGGCTGCCTGCTGGAGCAGCATAGGACCTGTGTAGTGTGTCATGGGTCGGACCACGTGCATGTGCCGAGGTAATGCCATAGATATATTACACCGCATATCAGACATTGCAATCAAAGCATTCCCTAGCAGCCGAAGACACTCGCTAACAAGATTTATAAAGTCGCTGTCCTTGTTCTCTTTCCTCCTAAAGAAGCAACACAGACAGAATTAAAAAAAAAAAAAAAAAAAAAAGGAGAATAATGTGACAGCATCTTATATCTAAAATGTAAATGGAAAGGAAAAGAAGTCACAAATGTGAACCACTCAAGTTTACTCTACTCAATGAACAAATAGACGGCAGAGTTATAATGGAGAGTCACCAATAAAAGAAATGTATTAAACTGAAGCAAAATGGGAAATTAGACTTTAAATTTCTTAAAGCAACAAAGAATATGATTGGCAACTGGGAGTAACAGCACCACTTTTAGTTGCATTTTCATAACTCAGTCCAACAGAATCTGGAAGATGGAATATCAGTGAGGTGGAAAAAAAAAAAAAAAAATCACTTGGAGGGCATCTGGGGTGAGTTTTTCAAATGCCGTAAAAACTCTTGTAAAAATCATGTATTAATGTTATTGATTCGTGTTACTGTCAGCGTTAGTATTTTAGGCAAGTGTGAACTTAGCCTTACATTCTCATAGGTGCCATTGGTAGCATTGCTGAGGATCTCTCGGTAGCGATCCATGAAGGGAGCCAAGCGTTCTTCCACCCGGGATAAAGACTGGAGGACCTCCACATACTCAGCAGGGGAGGGGTGGCTGCAGTGAGATATGGACAACAATTGGTGAACTCCAGGAGTTTTGAATAATGCAAGCAATCATAGGGTAGAAAATAATACTGTTACCTTGTCGGTGCTGTACCAGCTTGTCCCTCTGAGCTCTGTGTACTTTGGGATGGTGTTTCCCGAGTTCCAGATTCCCCTTCGGGTCCTGATGTTTCCATGGCTAATGCAGTCAGCTCAACAATAGGGTGTTGCTGCACAACAAGAAAATATTACGGACCACAAATGCACCAATATCCTGTACATACACTTCTACCCGTATACACAAAATAGATAAAAGTACACAGTAGTGTCATCCTCCCTCACACTACACCAGGGGTCTCCAAACTCTCTAAAAAAAAAAAAAAAAGAGGCCAGTTTACTGTCCTTCAGTCCTTAGGAGGGGCTGACTGTGGCTAGTGGGAGTAGAAAATGTCTACATACACATATATATATATATATATACATACATACATATACACATACATACATATATACACACACACATATACATATATATGTATGTATGCATGCATATAAACACTATATTTATATATATATATATATATATATATATATATATATATATATATATATATATATATATATATATATATATATATATATACACACACACACACACATATATGTACAAACACACACATAGCATAGGTACAGTACATGTTCTCTCCCGCCTCACATGGTACACCAAAACAGTTCAGGTTCAGCCAGTCTCTGAACACTCACCTCTAGGCGATCCAATACGGACTGAAGATCTTGTAATATATGTTGCGCCAGAAGAAGACGAATGCGAGACTCACTCTGTATAGGGAGTAGTAGGAAGGAACAAAGACATAGGAGAGAAGGATATAGAAGGATATTAACAAGAGCAAGCAGAAAACAAGTGAAGAGGATGTGAAAAGGTAAAAAAGGTCCAAGGTTGCAATGGTAGCAAAAAGCAAAAACATAATGAAGACCAACAGAGGAGAGAGTTGGGAAGGAGTGCCAGAGGCAACATATAAAAGGTGGACAGAAGCAAGAAAACAAAGACAAAGAATGCATTAGACGGTTGCAGCTAGACACAGGTGCAGCATTGGATAAGAGCAGCTGACAAGAACCCCACCACCATCTACATTTGCATGCCTCTTAGCCCTCCAGCTTTTGAATCGAATTCTGGTAAACATCATATAATCCAGTCTAAAACTATGCATATGTATCACACAAGATTATTATTTGGCCCCTGGCTTTTTGATATCTTTAAAAACATAAATAAAATAAATAACGACATGCTATTTTAAACTACAAAAAGCCCCAGTGAACTTTTAGTTTAAATCTGATAAATATATTCCAGGTGTTACAGTAACTTTCCTTTAGCAGCCACATCCGGAGTAAAAAAGCCTATTCCCTGCCAGCTAATAGCACTCTTAGATTGTAAGCTCCCGGGATCAGGCCCTCCTAACCCTCTTGTAATGAACTGTATTGTTGCTGTATTGTCTCCCGTTATATTGTAAAGCGCTGAGCAAACTGTTGGTGCGATATAAATCCTGTATGATAATAATAATAATAGGACCCTTGCTCTGTCTGTGTGGAAACAATAATCTCTTAGTAAATGTCAGGCGATTCCCCCGCCTTGTCAGACCCTTTGCTCACCAATCAGGAAAGCTCATGCTCCATGCAATTAGCATTTGTGTGTCTGACTCACCAGGTAGGGGAGCTGGGCCTCTGCTGAGAGACCTTTACTTCTACACAGAGAACAAAGGTGCTCCTCTACAGAATGCTGGCAATGGACAGGCTTTATTATTCAAGAGGTGTCTGCTTTCTAAAGAAAAACAAACTTTGTATACCTTTTGGTTTTGATAAACCAGGAAAGTGTAGTTTCAACTTTCTATTTTACATCAGCTAATCAGATCATGTGTTACAGCATATAAAACAGGCATCACTCAGTACTTGCCAGAATTGACAGGAACCTCGAATAAACCTAAGAGCCCCCACAATCCCGCATGAAGCCTTCTAGTTTACAGCAAAGCAGAGCACTAACACAACTCCACTGCAGAACACAATGGAAAGCAGGCGACTAAGAGTTGCTGCATTGCACTTGGACAAGGTACATCCATTACTTTCTAAGTCAATATTTACCTGAAAGTCCCTTTATGATCTTCAGTCCTCTTCTACACATCTGGGGACTTTTTGATGTCATACATACAACAAAAAGGAGGCCCTGATTAACCTCCTTGGCGTTATTCCCGAGTGTAGCTGGGGTAAAGTTTCAGCACCACAAGCAGTAACCCCAAGCTACACTCAGGAATACACTGCAGCATTGCTCCGGGATCCTTTCCTCACTTACCTTGTCCTTCGCTCCAGCGATGTCCCTCCTGCAACGTCCTCCGGCCGATGCCGGGATCTGTCTTCTGGGTTCCGTCCCCTGTGACGTCGGGACATACGGGGGACGGAACGGAGGGAAATTCAAAAATGTGAAAAAGTGACATTCACTAAATACACTAAAATCACATAGTAAAACATTACTGTATCAAAGCATTTCACATACATTTTGTCCCAAGTGCTTTGTCCTGTGCCCTGCCTGCATTTTTACTGTTCTTTTTGCCTGGAAACTGAGAAACGTCCATGGCGTCCAAAAAGTGTCCCTTTAGGTCAAAAGCGGTTTTAGATCAGCTAGAGAACAGCGATAGTAAATCAGAATCACTTGCAGAATTGAGTGATAATGATTCGTGGGGAAATTCGTCATCAGACACTGAAAACAATTCTGCGACTTTGCTCAGCGATGTGCAAACTTGGCGCTCTATTTCAAATTTCAGTGTTTTTGGTTTGATTATATTATTGAATTAAATTATATTATTTTTTATGATTATTAAATTATAATTTATGATTTTGTGTTTCAAATTTTATCCTACCCGGGATGTTTACTAGACTCTTGTTCAGACAGATTTCAGTGAGTTATTCCTAAAAATTACAGGCCTACAATAAAAAAAATACATATTTCAATGCAAAAAAAAAAAATGTACCGCTTTGAGCACAGAAATATGGACATAATCAGACCGCTAGGGAGGTTAAGAGGTCTTCTAGGCTCAACCCCCAGCACCTCACAATCTAAACCGATGCCCGTTTTTAGCTGCAGAGGTGATCTCACTGGTTTGTGAAAGGGAGGTGGACCTGGCAGAGTGTATGGCTGGCCATACAATATACAATTTTCCTTATATTTTTGCTTTAGATTTACCAAAAACCATATAATATGAGGTCAAACCTAAACAACACCTTCAATTGTATCAAATTAGGCAGGCCCTTGCACTACATAGTGGAAGGTAAATCTAAAGGAAATTGGGCAGAAATCTGTAAGACAATTGTATAGGTCAGGGGTGGGCAACTGTGGCCCTCCAGCTGTTGTAGAACAAGAAGTCCCATGAGACATTGCAAAACTGACAGTTACAAGCATGACTCCCAAAGGCAGAGGCATGATGGGACTTGTAGTTCACCAGCAGCTGGAGGGCCACAGTTGCCCACCCCTGGTATAGTGTATGGGCAGCCTAAGGCTGGCTATACATTATACAATTTTCTTGAGATTTTTGCTTTAGATTTACCAAAAACCATATGAAGTCAAACCTAAACAACACTATCAGTTGTATCCAATCAGGCAGGCCCTTGCACTACACAGTTAAAGGTAAATCCAAACGAAACTGGGCATAAATTGAAAGAAAATTGTATAGTGTATGGCCAGCCTAAGAGCTAATGTCGCAGCTGAGCTACTGCACACGGGGCCTTGACCCCGGATTAATCTTGACTTGGCCAGAAGTCAACCTCTCTGTGTCGTAATGAAGTTGCAATGTACCGCTTAGGCCTAGGACCCAAGGGGAGGCTAGACACAAGCTACATGGGGTACTTGCAGGCTTCCCAAGGTGCAAGCACTGTTACCTTAAATGTTTTAGGCCTGGTGGAGATCACTTTAAAATCAAAACAAGGAAAAAAAAAAGCAAAAACCCTGGCCAATGACCGTTAGATATTCCCTCGAAATACTGTGCACAATGAACATGGGATGCTCACTGGATACCCTGCTTTAATTCGTTGTTGATTGGTGGGTCTCTAACCCCAGCAGGCCAGGGAACAGTGACTGAAAAAAAAAAACACTGGATTACAGAACCTATCAACAGTTTTATAAACTATACATTATGTGGGAACTGTGGACTACAAAATACAAGACCTAATTTATTTTTTGTCTCCATCCACATCTGTATTCTTTTAATTTCTAAACAGATTTCAAAAACGGCCATCAAATTTTCAAAACCGTAAGGTTTGTTATTTTCCCCTCTAACAGCTATAAAAGAAAGCCTATGTGTAGCCTGCCAATGATGCCCTCTTGCTGAAAAGAATTAAAAGGGATAAAAAAAAAAAAAAACGAAAAAAAAATTTTTTTGCCTTTTAACTCCTTGACGCCGACGTCACACAAATATGCGGCCTCACAGAACTGGGATTTTTTCCCGTGGGGCCGCATATTTGCGTACCTGTCTTTGTGCTGGGAGTGCGCCGCACAGCATGCTCCCAGCACAAAGACCAGGGTGTTACTGAGAGCCTCGGGTCCCGTTCTAACGATCGGGACCCGGGACTCCTAATTCCGGGTCACATGATCGCTGTGATAACCCCTGATTGGCTATCACAGTGATCAGTCACTGTACAGCCCGGCCCTCTTGTTTGTTTGTTTTTTTTTTGTCTCTCTCTCTATGAATGGAGGAGAGAGATACATTGTATCGCTCTAACTCCTGGCATAGAGGAGGAAAAAAAATGTTTGTTAAAAAAACAAAAAAAGAAAAAAAAAAGATAAAATATTAAAAAAATAAATAAATATAAAGTTTTGATCTAGTTCAGTGCCAGGGTAAGTGTTTTGGTCAAGGTCAGGATTTATTTTTTTTTTTTTTTAAATGGTATCAGCGTCAGTGTGTTTTAGGTAAACAAAAAAAACAAAATGTGCACTACTGTTTCTGGGCTGTACTACAGGTACAAAGAACAAATAACATACACATATATGGTATCGCTGCGATCGTCAAGAGCTGGAAAATTTATTTTGGGTTGTTCTTTGGTGGTAGGTTACGGCAGTAACAAGAAACACACAGCTAAATTTAAAAAAAAATTGATAGCAATAAAAAAAAAAAAAAAAAAAAAAAAAATCAGGAGATATCCATTACCATTTACCACCAAATGAAAGCCCAATTTGTCCTGAAAAAAAGCACGGTATAATCCACCTGGATGTACAAAGTAGTTGTGATGATATGTACGGTTTTACTAACACAGGTCAACGTTGCAAAATTGTGCTTGGGCATGAAGATTTGTTTTACCCTTAGGTGTGAAGGGGTTAAAAAAAATAAATATGCCATACTTACCTGCTCTGTACAATGATTTTGCACAGAGCAGTCCCAAACCTCCTCTTCTCAGGTCCCCTGCCGGCTCTCCTGGCTCCTTCCCCCTTCCCCGTGCTGAGTGACCATCAGCTTGCCTATGGGGTTAGTCGTGCATGGCTCGTTCCCAAGCCGGCTCTGTGCTCACTGTCACACACAGCGCAGCTCAGCCCTCCTCACTGGCTGTGACTGACAGCAGTGGGAGCCAATGGGAAAGAGAGAGCCTGGAGAGCCTCTGCTCTAGTGCGCACTGTTGAATCACGATTGGGCTCACGTAAATATAAGGGGGGGCACAGCACACAGAGGGTTTTTTTACCTTTATGCATAGAACGCATGAAGGTAAGAAACCCTTACCCTTTAGAACTACTTTAAAGTGCTACTAAACCCACAACAGTAAAATCAGTCTGTATATGCAGAAAAGCATGCTGGTTATACTGTGGAACCTAAGGGGTTAATCCTCTGCATTGTGTAAAAAGGCTGTTTGATCGCATCTTTTCTGATCCTCCCCTTCTACTGTCCCCAATCCATCTGCCATAGTACAGAGCCCTAGGAGGCACTCTGCACCTGGTCAGTTGTTTGGTGCGTATTGCTAGAGGAGTGTTTTATTGTTTTGTTTTTTTTTGGTGAGGGTGCATGTGCTCAGCACAGGGCCAATCAGCACTGTCCAGACAGAGGGTCCGAGGACATACCTGCAGCCTCATAGGACAGTCAGAGGAGAATGAAAACTCCTACAAATTCAATCAGTGCTCGGCCGGACACTGATAGAAGTTACTAGACTGCTATATACTGCTGATGAGAAAAAATGTATTTTAGCAGTTCATTTTTTTTTTTTTTTTATTTAAACTTTTATTTGATTTTCCAATACAAAAAAGAACAACAACTCAATTGCAAAAATATTTCACATATACATATTTCCATTTACCCCAATATTAAACCCACCCACCCTTCCACCCTCCTCCCAACCCATTTCCCCATCTATATCTTCTCTCATAATTATTTATCAATATCTATATCTGACACTGCACTCTCTTGGATTCTCCATTAAGGCTCTGTCCTGACTTCTAACTTCCCCCTAAACTCCGACCAGTTCCGTGTATCTTTCAGAGGTTTTAAATTTCAACCAACTACACCACATTTTCCTAAATTTTTCCATTTTATCCTCCTCCATGTGATATAGCTACTCCATCCTATAGATATTTTCAACTCTATTTATCCATTAAATAATTCTTGGTGCTTCAGGAACCTGCCAAAACTTGGGAATCAAACCATTAGCCGCGCTAATTAAATGTCCAATCTACTATTCATGATAAAATCACTGCTAGATAGTAATTCCTCACGTTAGGCAAGCCCAAACCCCCATTCCCTTTTACTCTACAGAGGACCTCGTAGCTGATTCTCGGTTTCTTATTTGCCCATATAAACGTAATAATCATCTTCTTTATTATCCCAGAAAAAGACCCAGGAAAGTGAACTGGGAGCATGTGGAACTTATACAGAATTTTTGGCACTACCTCCATCTTTACCAGTTCACATTTAATAAAATAAATGAATTTCCATGTTGTGTGTATTGTGAGAGACCATATATAGTGAATGCAGGGTCGGGGTTTAGTAACACTAACTTCACTGTTTGCACACATCTTCTGGGTCAGTAGCTCAGGGAGTATTGAAGCTAGAAGACTGACATCTAGGCAGCTAGAAATTTTGGAGCCATCATTATACGCTACTCTGACTACAAGAGAGCATTACTGAAGGAACATACAGTGCCTTGAGAAAGTATCCATACCCCTTTTTCTACATTTTGTCATATTACAACCAAAAACGTGAATGTATTTTATTGGGATTTTATGTGATAGACCAACACAAAGAGGCACATAATTGTGAAGTGGAAGGAAAATGATAAATGGTTTTTACTCCGATACCCCTAACTAAAATCTAGTGGAACCAATTGCCTTCAGAAGTCACTTAATTAGTAAATAGAGTCCACCTGTGTGTAATTTAATCTCAGTATAAATACAGCTGTTCTGTGAAGCCCTCAGAGGTTTGTTAGAGACCATTAGTGGACAAACAGCATCATGAAGGCAAAGGAACACAAAAGACAGGTCAGGGATAATGTTGTGGGGCAGTTTAAAGCAGTGTTAGGTTATTATCCCAAGTTTTGAACATCTCACGGAGCACTGACAATCCATCATCTGAAAATGGAAAGAGTATGGCACAACTGCAAACCTACCAAGACATGGCCATCCACCTAAACCAGGGGTCTGCAACCTTTAAGACATAAAGAGCCACTTGGATCCGTTTCCGAGAGGGAAAACAAGACTGGGAGCCGCAAAACCATTGCAACATTTAAAACAAATACTGCATATATTGCAAAAAACGCTCTGTCATGAAGGGGGTTTAAGGGCCCAGTAAGCAAAGGGTTAATCAGGGCCACAGTGGTCATAATCACAATCATAGCCTTTCGGGCAGTGGTGGGCAACCTTTTTTTTCGAGGGGTGCTGAGCCAAATCTCGCCAAAACCACGATTGAAATTTATTTTGAGAGAAACATTTTTTAAAACTGAAAATACAAATAGTAATTCATCCCCCAAGTAATTCATCCCCCCTATAGTAATTCATCCCCCCTATAGTAATTCATCCCCCCTATAGTAATTCATTCCATATAGTAATTCATCCCCCATATAGTAATTCATCCCCCATATAGTAATTCATCCCCCCATATAGTAATTCATCCCCCCTATAGTAATTCATCCCCCATATAGTAATCATCCCCCATATAGTAATTCATCCCCCCTATAGTAATTCATTCCCCATATTGTGTGAATTCACAACCTTTGCTCCGCGCGTTCCTCTCGCCGTGTTCCCGCGCCGTTCTGGTCTTCAGGGCGGACTGCGAGAGGAGAGGAGTTCGTCACGCTGCCCCCGCCTACATCCGGGCTGCCCCGCCTACATCCTGACAGCCAATGTTTGCCAGCGGGCGCCCGGCACACAGAAGAGCTGCATTAAAAGAGCCGCGGCTTGCCGACCCTATTGCCTGTCACCTGGTGGGCAGTGTGCTCCGGAGCCGCAGGAAAGGTGAAAAAGAGCCGCATGCAGCTGCGGAGCCGCGGGTTGCCGACACCCGACCTAAACTGACAGGCCGGGCATGGAGAGCATTAATCAGAGAAGCATCCAAGAAGCCCATGGTAACTCTGGAGGAGCTGCAGAGATCCACAGCTTAGGTGGGAGAATCTGTCCACAGGACAACTATTAGTGGTGCACTCCACAAATCTTGCCTTTATGGAAGAGTGGCAAGAAGAAAGCCATTGTTGAAAGAAAGCCATAAGAAGTCCTGTTTGCAGTTTGCGAGAAGCCATGTGGGGGACACAGCAAACATGTGGAAGAATGTGCTCTGGTCAGATGAGATCAAAATTGAACTTTTTGGCTAAAAGCAAAATGCTATGTGTGGCAGAAAACTAACACTGCACATCACTCTGAACACACCATCCCCACCTTGAAACATGGTGGTGGCAGCATCATGTTGTGGGGATGCTTTTCTTCAGCAGGGACAGGGAAGCTGGTCAGAGTTGATAGGAAGATGGATGGAGCCAAATACAGGGCAATCTTAGAAGAAAACCTGTTAAGAGTCTGCAAAAGACTTGAGACTGGGGTGGAGGTTCATCTTCCAGCAGGACAACAACCCGAAACATACAGCCAGAGCTACAATGGAATGGTTTAGATCAAAGCATATTCATGTGTTACAATGGCCCATCCAAAGTCCAGACCTATATTTAGTTGAGAATCTGTGGCAAGACTTGAAAAATGCTGTTCACAGACGCTCTCCATCCAATCTGACGAAGCTTGAGTTATTTTGCAAAGTAGAATGGGCAGAAAACTATCACTCTCTAGATGTGCAAAGCTGGTAGAGACATCCCCAAAAAGACTTGCAGCTGTAATTGCAGTGAAAGGTGGCTCTACAAAGTATTGACTCCGGGGGGCTGAATACAAATGCCACCACACTTTTCACATATTTATTTGTAAAACATTTGGAAAACCATTTATCATTTTCCTTCCACTTCACAATTATGTGCCACTTTGTGTTGCACATAAAATCCCAATAAAATATATTTACATTTTTGATTGTAACATGACAAAATGTGGAACATTTCAAGGGGTATGAATACTTTTTCAAGGTATATGCACACTGACATTACTTAGCCATATTTAACATTTCTAGATGTTCCTTTTAACATAACATTTCTCCATGAGTTCAAATCCTCAAACTGGTGACATGCTTACTTTAAAGCAGAACTGAAGTCCCACTGCAAAGAAAAAAAAAAAGAAGAAGAAGGAAGAGCGAGCAGGCAGGCTTTTATTGCAGGAGAGACATGTAGGGGTTTATTTACTAAAGCCGGTTCACTCAGAATCCTGTGCTCTTCTGCATAGAAACCAATCAGCTTCCAGGTTTTATTGCCAACGCTTGATCGAACAAGCTGAGGTTGGAAGCTGATTGGCTACCATACACAGCTGCACTAGATTCTGAGTGAACCATTTTTAGTAAATAAACCCCGTACTGTCTATTCAATAAAATTCCCCTACCTGCCTGCTCGTCTTCTCTTCCGGCACTGTAAACTGAGCATCGCATGCGCAGCACAACTTACAATGCCGTGCCAATCTCCTATTGTCAGGATGACAGCCTCCTGCGCATGCGCTGGGGTGACATGTCCCCCCCCCCTTACACCACTTGCCAGTGAAGAGGACTGGAAACCAGCACTTAGAAGAAGATGCCGACACTGTTGCAGGACCATTGGATAAGTATGGAGACTTTAGTCCCATTTTACATTTCCACTGTAAAGTAAACCTGTTACTTCTTCCGGTATGGCCAAGTACAAACCTCACTTAGACATTAGCCTAGTTTTTTGATTCCTTCCACTGGTCATTTCAGAAGTTCCTACATGTTTTCAGTGTATTTAACTAACACCGTCATATTAAAAACATAAAACTTTCAAATTCCTCCTTTTCTTTCACCAAAACCTTTTACCATTACCTCTCTGCTAATGAATTATAGATCTGAGCGAATCTTCACCTAAAACAGATTTGTAACACTGTTTGTCTGTGTTATAACTGCACACTTAAGTAAAATTGACAAACAGCAGCAACTGATCAACCATGATAATACATGTCATAGGACTAGAGGCAGAATCTCCACGTCTCGTACCTGGATGGGGAGCTGCTGGTCCAAGTTTATATGGACATCAAGAGAGGAGCCATCACTCTAAGCAGAGAAGGTAGGAAGGAAGAAGAGAGCCAGAGGGGATCAGGCGGGATGAGAAAGGGCAGGATGAAATCAGGAACATTAACAAGAGATCAGAAAGGATGCAGACACAGCAAGAAGGACGGGAGAAGATAAGAGAGGACGAAGAGAGACACAGAAAGACATGAAAGAGGAGTGGGACAGGTGGAGGAGAAGAGAAGGAGGACAACAGTAAACAGTATAAATCAGAGAATTGTTCTGAACACATTAGATCTCCTATTCTACATGTAAACAACCCATCCAGGAAAGGGTTATACATGCAAACACCACAGGAGAGGACACATTGCTTACAGGGACAGGATGTCAACCAACACAGAGAAGGGAAATCTGATGGAGGCTTTATATACTTACCCCACTGGATGTGTTAATACGGGGGGATCTGCCCGCCTCGCTCAGACCCGACATGACATGCTGCAGGAAGAAGAGATGAAAAGCCGGTCAACTTCAGGAACTACTCTGAACAAAAACTTGTCAAAAGGTTTCTAAGGCTACATTCACACCAGAAATTAGAACTGATGTGACTAATAGCAGCTTGAATCTTCTGGTTCCTACTACGGTTCCCAGGAGCTATGTGCAGCCGCTGACCACGTTCACTATGATGATAGATTGCCAGCTGCTGCATCTGTTTGCAGCTCTCTACTCAGCCAGATAATCTGTGGCTGTGCAGACAGCAGCAAACAACTGCAGCCACCAGCGACCTGTCATTATAGTAAACGGGGCCATGGTCCGTACCTACCCGCTGGGAACAGCGGCAGGAGCCAGAATATTCTTACCACTACTATTCGCACCAGCTCCAATCGTCTCTTTGAATTTAGCATTAAAGAACCATTTTGCAGTTTTAGAGGTTAACTACTGCTGGTAAAACATAAACCATCAGCCAGAGAAATTGTTTTTTTCAGTGAAAATCTTGTGTCATAAACAAATCCAGAGGTCCAGAGAGGTGTCCAGCTGAAAGTATAGGCAAATCTTGACTCTGTTTAAGTTGGGCTCACACCATCCTACTCGTTTGGTTCTTTAATGTGATAGGACAGCCTTGGAGAATGGAGGGTGGAGGGCCAAGAACAGCTTATCAGAAAATTGGAGATTTGCATGAAACTTATGCTACCTACCTCTTAGGCTCCGCTGATAGTTTTGTGTCACATTTTTCAATGAAGGGAACATTTGCTTATACATGTTTCAATTTCAAGTGGAACATGACATCGGAAATAAAAGTTTGCAAACAGGCAGGTTTTAATTCCACAAGGGACATTATGTCCCTTATGCAATAAAAGATTCTTACATGCCTGTTTGTAATGTACACTGAGCTGTGCACACACAGTGTACAATTTTGGAGTCTTGTGAGATGGAGGAAATCCTTCACAGGCATGGGTGGTACACCATCCCAGCACTGCCAATTAATATGGCTGAAGATCCTGTACCCAAAAGAAGAATGGGCAAAGATGTCAGCGGCTAGAGAGGAAGCTGCCAGACTATGCACCCCAGGGGGTATGGGATCCTGTATAAATTCACTTTAGGGGGAACTAAATGCTGTGCCCAATAAAGGCAGACAGAGGGCAGGGAGCTAGTCACCAGTATTGTCTGTCATCTCTCTATCAGCTTATCTTTTTCTGTACCAAGGGTCTCCAAACTTTTCAAACAAGAGCTAGTTTACTGTCCTTCAGACAGGAGGGAGGGCACAAAATGTCACAGGCCGCTTTAGTGAGAATAAACATGGCCTCAGGGTTGTTGATCAGTAGGAGGATTAGTATTGTCCAATCATTGGAATCAGCAGGAGGAATAGTACCCCATCATTGGTATCATTAGAAGAAATTGCACCCCATTGTTGGTGTCAGTGGAAGAAATAGTGCCCCATCATTGATACTAGGAGGAGGAATAGTGCCCCATCATTGATACTAGTAGGAGGAGTAGTGCCCCATCAGTGATACTAGTAGGAGGAATAGTGCCCCATCAGTGATACTAGTAGGAGGAATAATGCCCCATCATTGATACTAGTAGGAGGAATAGTGCCCCATCATTGATACTAGTAGGAGGAATAGTGCCCCATCATTGATACTAGTAGGAGGAATAATGCCCCATCAGTGATACTAGTAGGAGGAATAGTGCCCCATCATTGATACTAGTAGGAGGAATAGTGCCCCATCATTGATACTAGTAGGAGGAATAATGCCCCATCATTGATACTAGTAGGAGGAGTAGTGCCCCATCAGTGATACTAGTAAGAGGAATAGTGCCCCATCAGTGATACTAGTAGGAGGAATAGTGCCCCATCAGTGATACTAGTAGGAGAAATAGTGCCCCATCATTGATACTAGTAGGAGGAGGAGTAGTGCCCCATCAGTGATACTAGTAAGAGGAAATAGTGCCCCATCAGTGATACTAGTAAGAGGAATAGTGCCCCATCAGTGATACTAGTAGGAGGAGTAGTGCCCCATCATTGATACTAGTAGGAGGAATAGTGCCCCATCATTGATACTAGTAGGAGGAATAATGCCCCATCAGTGATACTAGTAGGAGGAATAGTGCCCCATCATTGATACTAGTAGGAGGAATAGTGCCCCATCATTGATACTAGTAGGAGGAATAGTGCCCCATCAGTGATACTAATAGGAGGAATAGTGCCCCATCATTGATACTAGTAGGAGGAATAGTGCCCCATCATTGATACTAGTAGGAGGAATAATGCCCCATCAGTGATACTAGTAGGAGGAATAGTGCCCCATCATTGATACTAGTAGGAGGAATAGTGCCCCATCATTGATACTAGTAGAAGGAATAGTGCCCCATCATTGATACTAGTAGGAGGAGTAGTGCCCCATCATTGATACTAGTAGGAGGAATAGTGCCCCATCATTGATACTAGTAGGAGGAATAATGCCCCATCAGTGATACTAGTAGGAGGAATAGTGCCCCATCATTGATACTAGTAGGAGGAATAGTGCCCCATCATTGATACTAGTAGAAGGAATAGTGCCCCATCATTGATACTAGTAGGAGGAGTAGTGCCCCATCATTGATACTAGTAGGAGGAATAGTGCCCCATCATTGATACTAGTAGGAGGAATAGTGCCCCATCATTGATACTAGTAGGAGTAGTGCCCCATCAGTGATACTAGTAAGAGGAATAGTGCCCCATCAGTGATACTAGTAAGAGGAATAGTGCCCCATCAGTGATACTAGTAAGAGGAATAGTGCCCCATCATTGATACTAGTAGGAGGAATAGTGCCCCATCATTGATACTAGTAGGAGGAATAGTGCCCCATCATTGATACTAGTAGGAGGAATAGTGCCCCATCATTGATACTAGTAGGAGGAATAGTGCCCCATCATTGATACTAGTAGGAGGAATAGTGCCCCATCATTGATACTAGTAGGAGGAATAGTGCCCCATCGTTAGTTTTAGTGGCAGGAATTCTGTACTACTGTTGGTGACAGTAGAAGGAACAGTGCCTCATATCATTGTAAAGAATAGTGCCCCAAGGGCCGGATAAAGGCTAACAAAGGGCTGCATCAGGCCCTCGGGCTGCAGTTTGGAGACAACTATTCTACACTGTGTCTCTGTGTGGGGATGGCCATCCTGGGTTAAGATGAACTATTCCGGGGCACTTGCAAAAGAGTTACATCATGTGCTGGCCAATCAAGATGGTCGAAGATGCTGGACATTGTATCATTGGACTGGAGGCAAGTTTAGATCCACTTCAACATAAAAGCTGTATTTCAAACTACAATGTATGGACTGCTTCTCTCTGGAGGCCTCTGTGAGCAGCTTAGCCTGTTTGTGACCACAATTTGTACAGAGTTCAGTGCTCTGCAACCTTGGAGCTCATGTACACTGCATCTGCTAAACTGACATTCAGGAGCTGTTGAGGGTTTTTTTCAGCAGCCCCTGAACTCTCCTTTATGTTTTCCTATATGTCCATTTCCACAGTCTTTTACAGTCGTTCACAGGCAGTTGAGTTAACAATCATTTTTTTGAACGCACCAAATCTGCGTTCAGGAGTAGATTTTACTGGCGTTTCAAACGCCAGTAAACGCGTGTAAATGTGGTTAACCGCGTTTAAGTTTAGATGCGTTTTTTGTCAGGTCCATATCCAGATGCTGTCCAGAGCCTTTTTAAAGGCATCAAAAATTAATGAAAAGCATTTTCCATTTATTCAAATGGACCCGGTACACCAGTGCAGCCAGTTCCAGGTTTCGCGTGAAAGAAAAAGTGGTAGAACGTGCTGCAATATGCTCATGATGGGATCCATAGTGAAAAGACAGGTAATCTCAACACATACTGCTCTCTCTGCTTCTCTCAAAATGTCTGAAATGGTTATGTACTATTTTTCAGTGCATTCAGAAGGTCTCCTGAGGTTATCTTTTAAAAACGCTTCTAAATGCAAACGTGCATAAACGCGGTATGCGAACGCGGCTAAACTGACAATTTTTAACAGTCACTTCCCAGCGGTCAGAGGAGGTTTCCAACGCCCTGTGTACATGAGCCCTTAGTTATCACCATGTCACACTAGTAATTATGTTGCTTGTGACAAAAAAAGTCAGCCAGAGGATCATTAAGGTGATTGATCGTCTGCCTCTACAGCATTGCTTCACTGCGAGATAAAAATCTGCAGAATGTTGCTCATTTTATAAGCAGCAGCGGAGCAACATTAGCCAGAAGACAATGCCGTAGAAGCAGGTGGCTGTTGTTGCTGCTCTCTCATCGCGATCCCAGTTGAAAGCTGGGAAGTGCTAGAGTTCTCAATAATGGCTTACTTTAGCGAAGCAGATGTTCAGCTAGATAGGTGCACAGCAATGAGGAAAATGGAGACAGGTAGACATGAGAAATGTAGCCAAGATGCTCAGGTCACTAGTTTCGGACCACCAAAATAAATGAACCAATCTAGTGAATTTCCTCACCGGCAGATTAAACGCTCCCACCATCACGTAGCCATTTCCGTTCCTTTCAGGACCGCTGGATCCTGGTCCACCCGCAGAACTACTGCTAGAGCTGGAAGATGTGCTAGATGATGAAGAAGCTCCCCCAGAAGTGGTCTGTGTCTGAGGAGGAGCACGCTCCACCAAGTGAATGACCTTCCCATCCACATCTGAAAGAGAAGCGCATAAGCTGGTTATTTGGGAAAAAGAGCTGCAACCTCTGTTCAAAGCCTACTGTCAAAGAGACGCCAGGTACTCACTGTAATCCTTCAGCTTTTTATCTTCCTGCAGCACACGACCCTGATATATGAGCCGCTGCTTCTCTGGAGGAATGCCAACCGAGGACGATATGTGATCCTTGAAGTCCTTCACAGTTAGCTGTAGGGAAAAAAAAAAAAGGCAAGATGGTAGCTCAGACAAAGGTCTGTTGTGTACAGAGTACAATCAAAATTCCACTCTGGATGACAAGAAAAACTCAGACTCGTAAGCCTACCTACAGCTTGGTTTATAAAATGTAACAACATAAAACTTCCAAATGCATAAAGTCATAAGCACTGCATACACTACAAACAAGCTTTAGCGGTAAGAAGATTCTTCTCAACATACAGCTGGCTGTGGGTAATACTGATAGAAAACAAAATAAATTTACCTCTTTTAGGCCTCATGCACACAGGGCATTTTTGCAGCCACTTTTAGGGACGTCGGGCATTTTTTATTTTACTGCTTCAAATGTCCCTAGCGTTTACCAGCAGGAAAAAAACCCAGGGCCACTGAGTCCAGGAGCAGCAGCGTTTTGGCAGAAAAAACACTTGACACGCCTAAACACTAGGCGCATTTAGCGCTTGAGCGTTCATTTCAATGGCCAGAATAAATTATCATTCTGGCCAATGAAATGAATTAACGCCCAAGGGCTTGATGCTTGTAAACACGCCTAAATGCTTGTAAAAAATTTAGATGCTTTTACAAGTGTCAGGCGTTTTTTCGGCAAAACGCTGCTGCCAGGAGAACAGCTTCTAGGAGAGATTTTTTTTTAATGTCCTGTGTGCATTAGGCCTTAGACCAGCGGGTCGCGACCCCTTTGGGGGTCAAACGACCCTTTCACAGGGGTCGCCTAAGACCATTGGAAAACACATATTTCCGATGGTCTTAGGAACCGAGATATGCTCCTCTATCTGTCTCCAGGCCCACACGCAGATACGCCCACATACGAGTACCCGGCGTGATGACATCATCGCGCCAACCCCATCACATACACCCCGTACAAATACAGGTGTATGTGACAGGGTTGGCACCATAATGTACTTATGTGGACCAGTCACACATGTGTAAAGAGCAGCTGCTGTGTTGAAAGCAGCTGCTGTGTTGAAAAGCAGAAGGTAAAACGACACACTTCATGAATTATAATTCCTGGGTAAATGTAAAATCATGTACTGTAAAATCATCAACTACTGCAAAAAAAAAATATCTGTACCATGGGAACTTAATCTGGATGTTGATCGGTCTTTTTATATTCAGCTGTGGTTGATGTGAATACAAAATTTCATTTATTTGTAATTAGAAAAAAAAGATTTCACAATATATAATTACATATTGTTTTTGTGATTAATCACTATGTTTTAATTATGTTCAATTTGTAACAATGAAAATACATCCTGCATATCAGATATTTACATTTCGATTCATAATAGTAGCAAAATTACAGTTATGAAGTAGCAACAAAAATAATTCTATGGTTGGGGGTCACCACAACATGAGGAACTGTATTAAAGGGTCGCGGCATTAGGAAGGTTGAGAACCACTGCCTTAGACTAACAAGGGTCTTAAAGGGAATGTAAAGTCGAATATATATATATATTTATTTTTTTTTTTATAATCTTTATTTAGTAGTATGCAACAGTAACAATAAAATGATGTGAAAATGTGGCTTCACCAACCAAATAAGATAAACAGAACAACAGTAGTACATTAAAAAAAGGTATTTATTTTTTAAAGGTGAACTTAGCCTTTTACCTTTTTGCTGGCAGGTCCGTACATCATACGGCCCTGACAGTGGGGGGGGTTTACACACATTGTGAGTAAATCTGACTCCTGCAGCCCAATTGCTACCAAATACTCCTGATAACAGCGCCCAAACTGGCCAGTTTGGGCAGGGAAAGAAGGCATCGCAATGCGATCTGCATTGCATTAGATTCAGTGGAGTACAGGGAAGACAGTTTAGGAGCAATAGGAGGATGGTACAAAATTTAGGAGATATAGATTATACCTACAGGTAAGCTTTATTATAAGCTTACCTGTAGGTACAAATTAAGATAAAAAGAGTTTACTGCCACTTTAAAGAGAACCTGTCACCAAAAAATATCACAGTAGAAAAAAAAAAAAATGTAAAATTTAATTTAAATTGTAAAAAATTAAAAAGTTACACCCAAGCACATAAAATCCCCCCAACTTCCCAAAAAAACGAAGGCCCCCACATATAAGCGTGTATGAACATAAAACGCATGCATCTGGGGCGCCTACGCATGAAAAACATCGATTTCAATACACGTTACAAATCGCTGTGCATGCTGGAATGACAGCAATAATTCTAGCATCAGACCTCCTCCATAACGATAAACTGATGACCTATAGAAGGCTTTTTTAATAGTGATGCAACGATATATCGGCCACTGAAAATTATCAGCCGAAAATAGGGTTATTGGTGTTTTGCCAATAGAAAAGAAAAAAAAAAAAAAAAAGAAGGGGCAGCTAATGCTTACGGACTTCATTGCCAAATCGTGTTGTTTCCCGTTGACTTCACTGCAAAACCCGCATCATTTTACGTTACTGGATTGTATTTTTTAAGTTCATATTCATTTAAAATTCATGATATTATTTTAAAAGTTTAATACAATTAAAAAAAAAAAACATTTATATATATATATTTTATATACACACACACATATTACAGTCATGGCCGAAATTGTTGGCACACCCTTGATATTTTTCCTGAAAATCATGTATTTCACACAAAAAAGGTATGCATTAACACATGTTTTGCTATACACATGTTTATTCCCTTTGTATGTATTGGAACAAATATATAAAACAGAGGCAGAAAAGCAAATATGACATAATGTCACACAAAAAACCCCAAAAATGGGCTGGACAAAAGTATTGGCACCCTTAACTTTAATATTTGGTTGCACACACCCTTTGGAAAACATAACTGAAATCAGTCGCTTCCCTATAAACCATCAATAAGCTTCTGACACCTCTCACCCGGAATTTTGGACCACTCTTCCTTTGCAAACAGCTCCAGGTCTCTCTTATTGGAAGGACACCTTTTCCCAACAGCAATTTTAAGATCTCTCCACAGGTGTTCAATGGGATTTAGATCTGGGCTCATTGCTGGCCACTTCAGAACTCTCCAGCGCTTCTTTGCCATCCATTTTGAGTGAGTGCTTTTTGACGTATGTTTGGGGTCATTGTCCTGCTGGAAGACCCAGGATCTTGGACGCAAACCCAGCTTTCTGACACTGGGCCCTACAGTGCGACCAAAATCCTTTGGTAATCCTCCAGATTTCATGATGCCTTGCACACAGTCAAGGCACCCCAGTGCCAGATAGGCGCAAAACAACCCACAAAACATCATTGAACCTCCACCATATTTTACCGTAGGTACTGTGTTTTGTTCTTTGTAGGCCTCATTCCGTTTTCGGTAAACAGTAGAATGATGTGCTTTACCGAAAAAGCTCTATCTGGTCTCATCTGTCCACAAGACGTTTTCCAGAAGGCTTTTGGCTTACTCAAGTACATTTTGGCAAAACTGTAGTCTTGCTTTTTTACTGTCTCTGTGTTCAGCAGTTGGGGTCCTCCTGGGTCTCCTGCCATAGCGTTTCATTTCATTTAAATGTCGACGGATAGTTCGCGCTGACACTGATGCTCCCTGAGCCTGCAGGACAGCTTGAATGTCTTTGGAACATGTTTGGGGCTGCTTATCCACCATCGGACTATTCTGCGTTGCAATCTTTCATCAATTTTCCTCATCCGTCCACGACCAGGGAGATTAGCTACAGTGCCATGGGTTGCAAACTTCTTGATAATGTTGCGCACTGTGGACAAAGGCAAATCTAGTTCTCTGGAGAATGGACTTGTAACCTTGAGATTGTTGATATTTTTGCCACAATTTTGGTTCTCAGGTCCTCAGACAGTTCTCGTCTCCTCTTTCTGTTGTCCATGCTTAGTGTGGCACAGACAGACACACAATGCAAAGGTTAAGTGAACGTCTCTCCTTTTTATCTGCTTTCAGGTGTGATTTCTATATTGCCCACACCTGTTACTTGCTCCCAGGTGAGTGTTTACAGGGCATCACATGCTTGTAACATTCTTATTTATCCGCAGTTTGTGAAAGGTGCCAATACTTTTGTCCAGCCCATTTTTGGAGGTTTGTGTGACCATTATGTCGAATTTGCTTTCTTTCCTCCCTTTTTTTGTTTTGTCCAATACACACAAAGGGAATAGAAAACATGTGTATAGCATAAAAACATGTGTTAATGCAATACGTTTCGTGAGAAATACATGATTTTCAGGAAAAATATCAAGGGTGCCAAACAATTTCGGCCATGACTGTATATACACACACACACACACACACACACACACATATATACATATACAGTTGCAAGAAAAAGTATGTGAACCCCTTGGGATTACATGGAGTTTTTGCATGAAGGGGCATAAAATGTGCTCCTGAACGTCATTTAAGTCACAACAATAGAAGAACACAGTCTGCTGAACATAATACTACACAAACATTAGATGTTGCCATGGTTTGATTGCACATAACATGTAAACATTCACAGTGCAGGGAGGAAAAAAGTATGTGAGGCCCTAGCTTAACGATTTCTCCCCAGAGTAATTGGAGCCAGGAGTGAGCCACCTTGACTCCAATCAGTGTGATGATATTGGATGTGTTGCTGACAGCTGTCCTGCCCTTAAAAAACACACACCTGTTTTGGGTTTTACTGGTTTCAAGAAGCACTGTCTGATGTGAACCATGCCTCGCAGAAAAGAGCTCTCAGAAGACCTACGATCAAGAATTGTTGACTGTGCATGAAGCTGGAAAGGGTTACAAAAGTATCTCCAAAAGCCTTGATTTTCATGTGTCCACGGTAAGACAGACTGTCTACAAATGGAGAAAGTTTTAGCACTGTTGCTACTCTCCCTAGGCGTGGTCGTCCTGTAAAAATGACTGCAAGAGCACAGCGCAGAATGCTGCATGAGGTAAAGAAGAATCCCAGAGTGTCAGCTAAAGACCTACAGAAATCTCTGGCACATGCTAACATTTTTGTTGACACATCTACAATAGGGAAAACATTAAACAAGAATGGAGTACATGGGAGGAAACCACGGAGGAAGCCATTGCTGTCCAAAAAGAAGATTGCAGCACGTTTGAAGTTTGCAAAAGAGCACCTGGATGTTCCACAGCACTACTGGCAAAATATACTGTGGACAGATGAAACCAAGATTGAGTTGTTTGGGAAGAACACACAACACTATGTGTGGAGAAAAAAGGCACAGCACACCAACATCAAAACCTCATCCCCACTGTGAAACATGGCGGAGGGGAGCATCATGGTTTGGGGCTGCTTTGCTGCCTCAGGGCCTGGACGGATTGTTGTCATTGATGGGAAAATGAATTCCAGAGTTTATCAAGACATTTTGCAGGAAAACGTACGACCATCTGTCCGCCAACTGAAGCTCCGCAGAGGATGGGTGATGCAACAGGACAATGACCCAAAGCATACAAGTCATTCAACAAAACAATGGCTGCAACAGCACAGAATACGCCTTCTGGAGTGGCCCAGTCAGAGTCCTGACCTCAACCCCAATTGAAATGCTGTGGCATGACCTTGAGAGAGCGATTCACACCACACATCCCAAGAATATTGCTACACTGAAACAGTTTTGTGAAGAGGAGTGGTCCAAAATTACTCCAGATCATTGTGCAGGTCTGATCTGCAACTACAGTGAAACGTTTTGGTTGAGGTTATTGCTGCCAAAGGAGGGTCAACCAGTTATTAAGTCCAAAGGTTCACATACTTTTTCCTCCTGCACTGTGAATGTTTACATGTTATGTGCAATTAAACCATGGCAACATCTAATGTTTGTGTAGTATCATGTTCAGCAGACTGTGTTCTTCTATTGTTGTGACTTAGATGACGTTCAGAGCACATTTTATGCCCAATTCATGCAAAACTCCACTTAATCCCAAGGGGATCACATACTATTTCTTGCAACTGTATATATTACACACACACACACACATGTATATATACACACACATGTATATGTATAATATATATATATATTATATATATATATATATATATATATATATATATTTATATATATATATATATATATATATATTTATATATATATATATATATATACACACACACACACACACACACACACACACACACACTGTCCACTTCAGTTTCAGGCCAAGTGCATCCTGAAGTTTCATTCCAGAATTTTAATTTCAGTGTGACCAAGCATCATCTATAGGAAATATAGGGTGCTGAAGTTTGTCGCCATTTAATGGGCGCAAACATACTTACCTTTTGACATGCGGGGCATCTATTTACTCATTGCAACCTCATCTTTTATATTTTTACCAAAAAAACTGGGTAATTTATTGCGTTTGTGTGCCCTAGAATTAACTTTAGTGTGTTTTTTTTTACTGAAATTGAGCATTTCCTAGACCTATGTGGTAATATTGTGTGTCATAAAAAATTGGAAGTACCATTATTTTATTCTATAGGGAGGCTGTTTTATGTAATATTCAGGTTTAAACAGTTTTTTTTAAACGTGTGCAAAAACTGCTTTGGCACCAAAAGGGTTACAGCAAAAATAAAAATTAATAGCATAGAGTACTTGTTTTTTATATATTACACCTACTTTACAAAGCTGGGTGGCCAGAATTCTGAGGCCCACTTACCATAACACACAAACATGAATATATTTGCACGCTCCCAGCACACATGTCTGGAACTCACGGTAAGGTCCCAATCTCCTCTTTCGATCGGGACCTTCCCGATCATGTGATCATGTGACCGCCGTGACAGCGAATCACGGCGGTCACATGACCCTAAAACCCCCCCCCACCTCCGGTTTCTGAAACCCTTAAAAGGCGCCAAGGGGGTTAAACTCCTGTGTGAATGAGCCCTAAAGCAGTATGTGGCAGCTGATGTATTTCGGTTCCTCAAACATCCAGTAATTAGAATCCACTCTGTGTAAACACACCTCTACATCTACTGTGAAGGTTCGAGATTGCGAGTCCAACGTTTTCACCGTCACCGTCACCTCCATTTTCTCGTCAGCCGCCATCTCCCTCCCTGAAATACAAAGAAGAGAAGGTAAGAGTGGTGTGAGCTGAAGGACATTTCCAGGCAGAATTCTGGCCTGTCATTGGAAGAGAAGGTATACTGTCTTACAGTCCCACAAAAGAATATGAAATCAGAATACTTCATCGTGACGTGACTTTGGATATCCATAAAGAAAAAGCCTTTGTTTCCTGTCCAGAAATAACAGCTTTATAATGATCAGACACTGTTTACACACAGTGATTAGCCTTCTGGCAAAACAACTGACAAACATCTAGGGACATAAAACCCCAAGGGCTCAGAGGACAAAGGCGCTGCCAAACCCAGCTACTTGCTTTACATTCATAAAAAGAAAAATCGGGACTAAACGCAACACAAAAGGATTATTTAAAGCTGAACTTCAGGCAATAAAATAAACAGTAGATATAGATGTGGGAACTGCTCACAGCAGGGAAAGTATTGTTCATTTTATGTGACCAGTATTTTGATGCAGATAATCCTGCCAGATAGTACAGCCAGGTCATGGACCTCCATCACAGCTCCAGTTTGGCTTGATCAAGAACACACTCCTGGCCTACACATTGAAAAATGAAGCAGCACACTGATAAGTTATCAATCTACTGGCTCTGATCTCCCCTCCTGTCAGCATGTTTCCTACATGTGAATGTAGAAGAGCCTGACAGGTACCTACTGCTATCCCTCCCTCCCCCAGCCTGTGCTCATAGTCTCAGGATATATTCAGGTATACACTGGCTGAAATTAAATTATGTATTATTATAATACAGGATCTATATAGCGCCAACAGTTTGTGCAGCACTTTACAAAATGAAGGCAGACATTACAGTTACAATACAATTTGGTACAAGAGACACAGAGGGCCCTGCATTATTTGATTGTTTTCGAATCTGTTTGGCATTCAGTTTTAAAGGGGAATTCCAAAAAAACTAGAGATGAATTCCGAACACCTTTCGACACTTCTGCTACACTTCTCTACTATGCCGAGATTTATCTGCCACCTACGTCTGCTGGTGCACCGATCCATACACAGTACTGGGGGTTGTGAAGCAGAAGAATTTCAACATGCTTAAAAATTGTGCACCCCGGCGACAAGCTACGTACATTTTTCATATCGATAAGCAGCACTTTAAAAGCTTTTACAGGCCACAACTTTATATTTACACTGAGGGTCTAGTGCTAGACTTACTGCCCTCGACCTGAGGTTCACGATGATACCTCACATGCATGGTGCAATTTCTGTTTACACACTGACATGGGACCGACGTTTGCGTTTGCCTTTGCACATGAGCACGGGCAGGGAGGGGCAGTTGATTTTTTTTTTTTTTTAATTTTGATTTTTAGGGACCTATTAGACTGTGTGATCAGACGCTTTCCCGATTTAAAAATGATGCTGTTTATATCAGGTGAAACGGAAATCATCATTTCCGTTTCACCAGATATAAACAGCGTCATTTTTAAATCGGGAAAGCGTCTGATCACACAGTCTAATAGGTCCCTAAAAAAATCGTAGCTTCTGGTCTCTTTGACCAAAGAGATGATTGGAAGCATTCGGGGAAGGGGGGGGGGGAAAGTATGTCCCCTAAAGTTGCTTAAAAAGCAATCCAGTGGCTAGGATTGTTTTTGCATGAAAGCTGACCGCCGGCTGAACAAAAAACGCTACCAGGATGAAAAAAAAAAAAGTTATAATCCTATACCCACAGTTGATCCAAAGGGAGGCAAAAAAAAAAAACCCAGCAAAGCATGATCCAATTGTCTCCTGCTGGGAAACAAATTCCTTCCTAATCCCCCAATCAGATATTCCCTGGATCAACTTTACCTATAAATGTTATATCCAGTAATATTCTGTGTATCTAAGAAAGAATCCAGGACTTTTTTGAAGCAATCCACTGAGCTGGCCAGAACCAACTCTTGAGGGAGTCTATTCCACATTTTCACAGCTCTCACTGTGAAGAAACCTTTCCATGTTTGGAGAATACATTTTTTTTCCTCCAAACATAAAGAGTGCCCCCTTGTCCTCTGTGATGACCTCAGGATGAATAACTCTACACCGAGTTCACTATATGAACCACTGATGTATTTATACATGGAGATCATATCCTCCCTTATGTATTATACATGGAGATCATATCCCCCTTATGTATTATACATGGTGATCATATCCCCCCTTATGTATTATACATGGAGATCATATCCCCCCTTATGTATTATACATGGAGATCATATCCCCCCTTATGTATTATACATGGTGATCATATCCCCCCCTTATGTATTATACATGGTGATCATATCCCCCCCTTATGTATTATACATGGTGATCATATCCCCCCTTATGTATTATACATGGTGATCATATCCCCCCTTATGTATTATACATGGAGATCATATCCCCCCCCTTATGTATTATACATGGAGATCATATCCCCCCTTATGTATTATACGTGGTGATCATATCCCCCCTTATGTATTATACATAGAGATCATACATTGATCCCCCCCCCTTATGTATTATACATGGTGATCATATCCCCCCTTATGTATTATACATGGAGATCATATCCCCCCTTATGTATTATACATGGAGATCATATCCCCCCTTATGTATTATTATACGTGGTGATCATATCCCCCTTATGTATTATACGTGGTGATCATATCCCCCCTTATGTATTATACGTGGAGATCATATCCCCCCTTATGTATTAATGGAGATCATATCCCCCCTTATGTATTATACATGGTGATCATATCCCCCTTAATCTCCTCTTCTCAAGAGAGAATAAATTCAGTTCCTGTAATCTTTCCTCATAGCTGAGCTCCTCCATGCCTCTTATCAGTTTGGTTGCCCTTCTCTGTACTTTCTCCAGTTCCCCAATGTTCTTTTTGTGAATTGGAGCCCAAAACTGAACTGCATATTCCAGATGAGGTTTTACTAATGATTTGTACCGGGGGAAATGATATCTCTCTCTCTGGAGTCTATATCACTTCTAATACAAGAGAGGATTTTGCTCGATTTACAAACCGCAGCTTGGCATTGCATGACATTATTAAGCTTGTGATCTACCAGAACTCCCAGATCCTTCTCCACCATTGGTTCCCCCAGTTGTACCCCCCCCCCCAGTATGTATGATGCATGCATATTCTTAGCCCCCAAGTGCAGAACCTTACATTTATCAACATTAAACCTCATTTACCACATATTTGCCCAATTATACAGTGCATTGAGGTCGGCTTGTAAGTTGAAGACATCCTGTAAGGACGTTATTCCATATAACCGCAATTCATTCTTTTCTGTAATGCCCATGTTGAGGGTTAGGCCCAAAAAAGTTTTACATTCAGAAACTGAGATAGGTTTCCATGTGAACTGTCTGGCAAGAGCTGAATTTGGGTGGGCGGCGCTGTATTGTGCGTAACAATTTCTTTGGCCCACAATCAACTGATACAAATCTTCTGTGGAAAACAGCGGAGGGGCTAAGCTCTAGTGCTAACAGGGCTGATCCTGCTAACATTGTGTTTTTGGGGACACTATACAAAGGAGGCACTAGTATAATTCTGTTGATAATCAGTATATTGATCTGTACAAATACGATACTAGTAATAGCGGTGATCAGCGACCTATAACGAGTGAGTGCAATCTAACGCTAGCTGACCCTGGGTGGAAGGAGCGCCAGCGGACCCTGACACTGTTTGATGTCACTAGTGGCAGTAATACAGTGAAAACTTCTATATACTGACACTGTACTAATGGCACTGGCTGGGTAATGGGGTCAATGATCAAAGGGTTACTAGGGGCGATCAATGGGTTATATGTGCTAATCTAACATGTGTGTGTAAAAATGTAGTGCTTTACTCCCTGGACAGCATAGAGGGCAGCAGGGCGCACACATGCGTACGCACACCCGGAAAAAGTAATATTACGACGCTTTACCCAGAGCTACCGCTCGCCCACACATTGTTGGCGGGCTGCTAGTAGTTAAAAAAAATAATTTTAAAACATTTCTCTTTTTTTTTTTTACATTTTCTGTTTTTTAAACATTATTTTTTCTTTTTACTATTTTTTTTTTTTTTTTTTTTTTAAACTCTTTCATCAGAGTTCTGTAATTTTACCATAGTAACATCGTACTACTTTGGGGGGGGGGGGGGTGATTTGGGATTATTTTTTTTTTTTTTAATATAACACTTTGCATTGCATGAGCAATTTGAGATGTTTGCTCTGCAGTGCAAAGCTTGCTTTGAACTGTCGTGAATGTGTCAAGTTCATGACAATTCGAAATACAGTTATCTGTGATTGGCCCCAGCTGGTCACATGGTACAGCGTGCTGTGATTGGCCCCATGTGGTAGGTGAAATCCGTGGACCAATCACAGCTCTGTAAGAACAGAAGCAAAGCTTTTATGAATCAGATAGATTCATAAAAGCTTTGTTGTCATTGTGAACATGTAATCACAACGGTTCTGGCCCGAGTCGCAATCTGAGGGGGGAGGGGGCTCTTACATCCCATTCATAGAGTGCATGCAATGCAGACCTCACCCTATGGGAAAGTGTTGATGGATTGGCCCAGTGATGGGCTCTCTGTAGTCACTGGTATGGATCTGTGTGGAGCTCCTCTGTAATGACAGGTCCTCTTCAGATTAGAAACTAATCTGGAAGCCCTAAAAGCAGCTAATCTACCGAATAGAACCATCCGGGATTGCAGTCCGCCCGGTCAGGGCCATGCTCCTGAGCCACCAATCCAGGCACAGCGCCCCACATCCCTGTATGACATGACAGCAGCCATGTTGTGTACTAGGACTGTCTATAGAGCACCGATCCGCTGTAATATACAGCTTAGGGCCCCCGCTTCCCTCCCCCCTCTCTCCATACACCCCACAGCCGGTCTCACCTGCGATCCCGGCCCCTCCGGCAAGCAGAGACACCGACACCTACCAACTGTTATAACGCAGACAGGAGCAGCCGGCCAACTTCCGGGTTCTAACTCCCTGGCTTCCGC